AAACTAATAAATGTAACGATTTGCATTTCTCACTAACTCAAAGAATAAACACAAGCAATTTTCATTTCATTTTTCATACCTGTCAAAATGATAAATGTACTTGTCCACCTATTCTTTTTATACATAGCATTAAGTATTTGGGTATATTGGATTAAAATTCAAACTACACATTGGCTTCCTAATTTCCCAATTTATGAATTTATGAAATATTAAATTTTATAATCTTTATAAAATATCGAAATGAATATATAACTGTTACAATCAATATATTTTGGCATTGTCTCATATGGAGGAGTACTATAACTATACAAATTAATACTAACACTAATATAACTAGACCATAAATTATAAGTGGTTGTGTTGTTAGAAGCTCCCTCTATATCCATTAAGAGTATTACTGCTATTATATTTTTTCATTAACGGTAGAGTATTTTTAGCAATTAGTTTAGTATGCTTATTTTCCTCTTTTTTTAAATTGTTTAATATTAATTTATAATATTTAGAAATGTAAACAATAATTTGATCTTATAATTCCATTTGTATGAAAAACATTACAAATTTCTATTTTATTTTAAAGGTAGAAATATGATCGGTTTGATTCTTTGTCTGGGATTTGCTCTGTAAGCAAATAAATAATTCAATTCATTCAATATGATCAAAGATGAGTCATAAAAAAAGTTGGTTTTTCTTGCTACTTTAAAAATTATTATTATTATTTCTATGGTTTGTTGCCATTTCAAGGCCCACTACACATTTTCCCAGTACCACTTTGAACAGAAGAATCTGCAACTTTATTTTGAACCTCATCCAGAGAATTAAAAGTTTTTTCTTGAAGGTAGGGGGGGGTCTTTAAGCCCCCTTACATGTACGTATAATAGAAATAAATTAAGTTTTATGAACATATTAAAATAATAACACCAATTATACAAAACAATAATGAAAATATTATATTCTTTAAAATATTAATTATTTATAATCGAATGATGAAACCACGTTATGAAAGAAAAGCAGAAAGAGAAAAAAAGGAAACGGGGAAAAAGAAAAGGAAGAGGGAAAAAAAGGAAATGATTTATGTCATTTTTAAAAACTCAGATGCCATGGACCTGAAACAAGCCAGCGAGAAAGCAGAATGTACTTCCCAGGGAAGCAAAGTCCATAGTCTTGACCATGGAATTCTGGAGGATAAGGCTAAAGGTTTAGAGGAGTGGTGTAGGTTTCAGAAGGTTGATTGAATATAAAAAATATATTTTGCCTTGTATAAATTCACTTTTCCACATCCTAAATGTGTTTGTTAAATGTAAACAATGTTTGTAAATCCCAGGCCCTGAAGATGATCTCAATCAAGATCGAAACGTTGGCACGATTTCTGAAACCTACATCGCACCAGACCGCATTTCACGATTTCTGAATAATTATCAATTAACGGTCACTAATCACCACACATTTAGAGGAGTGTTGAGGCTTGGGATATGATGGGTGCATTTGGATAGGGAATGAGGGAAAATAGTTGATAGGTACTGAGGACATTTATTGGATTTAATTTTAAATATATATGTTAAAACTTTAAATTTATAAGTGTTTAGAATACTAAAGTTGTTGAAGGCATTAATATAGGATGAAATTTGATCCCTTGGTTTAAGATCGTACAGTATCTAATACAGGAATGTTAAACAATTTGAAGGCAATGAGCATCTGTGAATCTAAGAGAGTAAGGAAAGTGAAAAAATAGTGCTACAGTAAAAGAATAAGGGAATTATTAGGGATTTAATAAGGCGAACTCTAGTTTTCTGTGGAGTGAGTCAAAGAGAATGAAGACTTGAGTAGGCCATTTTAATAATTGATCTCACATGGTCATGCTTGGAGTTAAAAATAATACAGAGATTTTTAACTTTAGGACAAAAATTAATATGATGGGGGCTAGGCAATCTTTACTAATGGGTTCATTGGAAATTAATAGGGACTGGAATTTGTTGAAGTTTAAAAGAATGCTGTTATTTCTTGACCATTGGTTAAGAGAATGAGATCACGAATGAACAGAGAGGGCTTCAGAGGTGTAGCTTGTAGGACATTGGATGTAAAGCTGAGTGTCATCAGCTTAAAGATGAAAGTGAGAGGAATTAAGTACTAATGGAAGATCATTTAGAAACTTGGAAAAGAGTAAAGATATTATAGTCTATGGATTAAAGTAGACCAAATCTAATTGGATTTGAAAAAGAAATAAAGCCTACAGGGGATTACCATTTCCAAGAAAATGAAATCTGACATTTTTTTATGATTCACCCTATTATGCTTGTTAAACTTAATTAAAATTTCAATTAATTATTCTTTTTGTCTAAAGACTTGATTGAGATATATATTATGCAGGGTGGGCGACAAAGACCCGAAGGGGTTAAATGCCTGAGGTAGACTCGTACCTCATCCCTAAAAGGTCCAGGACTTGGTCGGCTCACGTGTCCTGCATAGATCTCTTGGACTTGTTCACAAACCCCAAGATTCCATTTAATCTTGGGGAGTGATTTGGTGATGTTCTCCTTCAAAAGTTTCAAATCTAGACCTAGCATACCTATTACACTCTGTGAGGTAGTGCCTTGCCGTTTCTTCTTTTATTTCGCAAAAACAGCAAAACGGATCTGGTAGAATACCTATTACTAGGTGTCTTCTCAGTGGGCAGTGGCCTGTCAGGATATCTATCAGCCTCCTAATTTCGTTCCTTGAGTTAGAGAATAGCCATTTCGATTCTGCTGGTTTGATTTCCTTAACAAACTCTTTCGATTGCCTGTGACCGGGAGATAGATTCCATTCCTTAAGGAATTGCTTCATACCCCAGTTTTTAATACGCTCTTTCGCTGTTCTCATAGAGTGAGGTATTGCCGGTTATGGTCCGACAACCACAGTATTAGAGCCTTCTTTGGCCAGGCTATCCACCTCCTCATTACCATAGTGTCCTTTATGTGCTGGTATCCAAATAAGGGTTACCTTGTTCTCAAACCTGGAAGAGATCCTATTGATAAGATCTACATTTTCCTCCACCAGTCTAGCGATTGACAAATCTTTTTGTAATGACCTAAGACTAGCCTGACTGTCATAAAAAATTCTAATATCTTTTCCCTTGATTTTATTTTCCATAAGTGGAAACAACACACATTAATGGGCCAGATTTCTGCATGAAAAACTGAGGTGTTATTACCAAGAGGGGGAGGAGATGCTGATCCCTAATTTAGGTATATGTATTCCAGCACTTCCTTTACCTTTGATAAGTACATCAGTAAAACAGTCTATGTTACGATGGTCATCATCCACGCTATAGTTATATTCACACGGAGTAACTACCTGGAAGTACTTTTTCCCTAAAGGGGTTTTAACCTTTTTATCACTAACGCTTAATAATTGGCAGTTAACCTTACTCAATAGTTGTAGGATTTTTGAGTGACCTATGTTATTGTACTTCTGATTCCAGCTGTCTTCAATAATTAATCTTTAGCAGCTGATTAGTGCTCTGACCTTAGCCTGTATGTATAGAGGTGACTTGATTGAGATGAAAAATCCAGTGTCAGAAGCAAGATTCGAACCCACAACCTTCGGCTCAATAGCCTCACTAATTAGTTTATAGCTATAGCATGTTAATAAAACAATCAACTGGTTTTCTGAAGAAGATGAATCTTTTCTGTAAATGATAAAATGATGGCTTCTCATTGGTTTATAAATTGTACATTTTTGAAAAAAATATTTTATAGGTTTTCCTACTCATACGAGTTGCACACACTACATAAACCAGAATTTTTAAAAACTGTACTATCATAAATTTATAACATTGGCACTGTTGTGTGGTAATAGGTTGTTTTCTTTCAATTTGAAATCAATAGGCATAATATCGTTGAGTGTAATATCGGCATTCATGATAAATATTGAAATACCCGATCCCGTTACTTCAATAAGCATAATTGTTTTTATTGTTTTTTATTTTTTTATATATTTATTTTTTAACAACTGTATACTTCGACACAAGTGAAACATAATATCTAGATATAAACAATATTAAAAATAGCATGGAAGCTTGAACAGCAACCATCCAGTGTTGGTAGTCGTAAGTACATCAATATGCTGAGCGAGATGATCTCATTCTTGGAGACCGATGTCAAGAAGTGGATGGTGAAGGACAAATTCAATACTTCATTGAAAAGTTACATACATCACTAATTTTTTTATAGCTGTAGCATGTCAATAAACCAATCAACTGGTCTTTTGGAGATGATGAATCTTTTCGATAAAGGATAAAATTATGGCTTCTTGTTGGTTATAAATTGGACATTTTAGAAAAAATATGTAATAGGTTTTCCTGCTCATATATGCACACACTACATAAAACATTTGAATTTTTCAAAACTGAACTATTATAAATTTATAATATTGGTATTTTTGTGGCGCAATAGGTTGTTTTCTTTTAATACAAAATCAATGAGTATAATTTGTAATTGATATTGTAGGTAGAAGTCACAACAGCTCAAGTGGTTAGAGCAGCGGCGTATTGAACCTTAGGTCGTGGGTTCGAATCCCGCTCGTGACACCAACTTTTTTATCTCAACCAAAAACCACAGATAAAAAGAATAATTAATTGAAATAATTAATATGGTAAATTATGACCGCTAAATATATACGGATTAATTTAATTAAAATGTGGAGGGAGCTCGTCTAGCTTCCAAGTTCCAAAAACGGCCGAAACAGGCGCTTTCGTCGATTTAAGCATTATTTTATATTTTCGATTATAAAATGAGTGAATATGAAATTTTTAGGAGAAAAATAATGAGAGATCGTTCTAATTTGTAAATGACCGTTTTTTTAATCATTTTCATGGGTGGTTGCGTGTGATTTTTCTCAATAAACCGATTTTTTTGCAAATGTTTTCAAGCATGTTAGTTTGAATACGGTGCCGCCGCGCCGTACCCGGGAACCGATATTGATTTTATGTAAATATTCTATTTCGATGAATTTCTCCTCGCCGAGGTTCCTGTTTCGGTCGAATTACTGCGAATCTGCAGTAAATTCTGCAATTTATAAATCGGTTCGCTTTCGGATCTGTAATGGTCGGAGTCGGGCGGAGAGGCGGTGACGGTCCGTCCATCTTGGAAGTCGGCCTCCCCTCCACAACATAACCAAACCCAAAGCCAAGCGTTTTCCACGGCTTGGCTCGAATCGGTAGTTGTTTACGGGAAAAAAGTTACGATTGAGGCTGATGGTCGAGCTCGGATGAAAAATGTCGGGCAACGTTGATATTGACCTGTATGCGGACGATCTTGAACACGACTTCGCACAGGAGGAATTCGCCGGGGAAGGGATTGATCTGTACGACGACGTGATCGCGGGACAGACGACCACCGTCGCAGAGACGCTCCAGACGTCGACGAGCAGCAATTCATCCCAGCCCAGGAGCGAGACCCCGGCGGCTACGAACCACTCCACCTCCTATTCACAGCACACAGGTAGGAAATTCCAACTGTACGTTGGTAATCTGACATGGTGGACGACGGATCAAGACGTGACCGACGCCATCGTCGGCCTGGGGATCAACGATTTCCTCGAGGTCAAGTTTTTCGAGAACCGGTCCAACGGACAATCGAAGGGTTTCTGCATTGTCTCCCTCGGGTCGGAGCAGAGTATGAGAATCTGCATGGAACGTCTGTGTAAAAAGGAGCTGCACGGACAGTCGCCGGTCGTCACCTACACTTCCAAGCTGGCGCTGAGCCAGTTCGAGGCGCAGACCAAGACGAGGCCGATGCCTCCCGCCAACAACCAGGGCCAGGCGAGGATGCAGCATCCGGGACCGCACTCGGTGACGCCGCGGGTGATGATGGGCCCGCCTCAGATGAGGAACCGGCTCCAACCGCCGGGTATGCAGCAGGGGCCTAGGATGCCCCCGGGGCCGCACATGGGCGGACCTCCTGGACCCCACGGAGGCCCTCCCAATCAGCAGCATCCTGGATTCCACAACAACTGGCAGAATGGGATGCGACAGAACGGCCCACCTCGACCACCAGGGCCTCCGCAGAACATGGGGCCCCAGCGTCCGGGAGGACCCATGCCAGGCATGCAGTTCCAAGGACCTCCTCCACCCGGACAAGGGCCTCCTCCGAGACCGATGCCTGGTAAAAGTTCACTTCTTTAATAATATTTCAGTTTTTATTTTATTATTTATTTTTTAATTGACCTTCTGATGTCATATGTTGTATGAGTATTGAGGAGGCGGCGAACAAATAAAAATCGCAAAATTGCTATAAAGCTTTTCGGCTTATTTAATGCCTTCATCAAAACTATAATCTATAATTCGAGTTAAAACAAATAGCATGAAAAGAATATTTTTCATGTCCATGTAGACATCAGAGATTTAAAAAAGTTGTTTCATCACTGAGATTCCACCCGGCTGAAAATGTTTGGATACTATTTGTTGATACTTGAGTTATACATTGCAGTCCTGATGAAGGAATTAAATAGGCTGAAAAGCTTGACTGCAGTTTTTGAGTTTTTCTTTGTTGACCAATTCCTCGACACTTGTACAATATATTTAATTATTGATTTATTTTTCATGCTAAGTATTATTGAGTTGAAAAAATTAGTGTCACGAGCAGGACTCCCATGACCTCCAGATCAGTAACACAGCTCTTCTACCACTTGAGCTGTCGTGACTTCTATCCTCAAGACACCAACTAATCATCTCAACTTACAACTTTTTTTACTAATGTTAAACTTTGCACACAAAATAATTACTTTGGTTAATTTGACCATACATTTCTAACCACAGGATTAAAACATTCATTTCCCGACGGGATTATTGGTACTAATTGACTTGAATTTTCAGATTTACTTGTTCACTGTTATTGTTAGGTTTTGCTAATCCAAAATTACTTAATTCTGCTATATGTTTATAATGCTGAAACAGATTAAATTTATTTATTTTTTGTTTGATATCCATGTAAAGAGGAAGAGGGTGTATTAGTTTAACAGTTGATCACTAGGACATGATACTAAGTAATTACACATGTTTATTTAATCCCTTTATTCTGTTACTCTTTTCTCTTACAATCCATCTTTCCCTCTCTCTGTTTTAAACTCTGTTCCTCTCCTCCTGCCACTTTCCTAAAATATCCCTACCTATACCTATCTATGTCATGAAGTAATATGATTCTTCTTTCACATGAAATAATAGAATCATTACTAGCATATAAACAACTATTGAACTACGTTATACAATGTAACTCAGCAATACATAATAGAATTACACTATATTATTAGAATTAATTAATGGAACTTTTAAAGAATTAATTGTTAGTCCATTTCATAGTCCTTCAAATAGTTTTGCAGTTTTCTTTGTCTTGTTTGATTATATCTCCCATCTTCATCAATATAATGTATAAGATTTTCTTTGGTGATTGATCAGCCTTCTCAGTTTAAATATTTTTCTTTCCAAAAGGTAGATTGGGGATGAGGCCAGGAAGACAGAAACAACATTTATTTTCTTGTCGAGCTTTCGGCAGAATATATCGCCTTCATCAGGACTTTGAAAAAATTGTTATACTATATGAACAGGTACATGTGTGGATAACGGAGAACTGGTAGAACCTGGGGATTATATTAGGGTTCTACCAGCTCTCCGTTATCCACACATGTACCTGTTCATATAATATAGCAATTTTTTCGAAATCCTGATGAAGGCGATATATTCTGCCGAAAGCTCGACAAGAAAATAAATGTAGTTTCTGTCTTCCTGGCCTCATCCCCAATCTACCTTTTGGAAAGAAAAATATAATTTATAAGGTAATTCTTCAGCTTTCCTGCTCCGTGTTGTGTTTGCTTTTCATAAATGTATACTATTCCTTCGAAATAGCTGGCCAGTTAGTTACAAAGTGCTTCACAATGAATGAACGTGTTTATTTTTTATCACCCCTAGGTTTTTTTCCGTCCTCTTGATTTGAGTATTGGATGTAGACTTTCACCCGCAAGTAATTCTACCAGGTTTTTGGAACCTCTGTTGTAATATTTTTCTGTTACTGGCGTTGTTTTATTATATTCTCTTCTACATCGTTATTTATCTTGGGTAAAAATTTTAATTGGGCTAATTGGAATTTTTGTTCTCACAATGCAGTTCATCAATAACTGTGTTGGACATAAATTAATACCTTTAAGAGGAGTATTTCTGTATTTTAATATTCCCAGATAAAAATCTTGACCTTGATCATAAACTTTTTTAAACATAATTTTTATGATCCCCACTGCTCTCTCAGCGAACGAATTTGCTTGGAGTAATTTACACTTCTGGTAACAATATCGAATTCATATTCCTTGGCAAATAATTTCATGGACTCAGCTGCAAATGGTACATTATCACATATTAACAATTCTGGAATTCCAAACCTGGAAAATATGACTTTCAATTTTTCGCTTTCAACATTTGCTGATTTAGATGTCAATTTCACACCTGACGCCATGTAATAGCTAACACACTATTAACAGTTTATCACCAGGACATGATACTAAGTAATTACACGTGTTTATTTAAACTCTTTATTCCATTACTCTTCTCTCTTACATCTGTCTTTCCCTCTCTCTACTTTAAACCTTCCTCCTCTCCTACCTCTTTCCTAAATATCCCTCAATATATCCCTACAATCTCTATATCTATCTATATCATGTAATAATATATATATAATGTAATACAACATATATAACAGAGGGTTTCAATTGGAAAGTAATAGTTAACTGTGTGTTTATGTTGTAATATTAGCATTGATTTATTTGGAAATCCAACAGTAGCCAAGGAAATTCTACACAAGAAGACATCCTCTTCTATTGTATCGGTACTTACTCTACTTGTATATTGATAATCAATTTGTATTTTATTTTATTGGAGTCAAATATTTTGTCATTTTTATCATGAACAGATATTACATATGCTAACTCTAATTCTACATAGAATGTTTCAAATAATTGAATTGTATATTGTCCAAGCCACCCAATGGATAGTTGGATGATAAGCCCTCCTGTATGACTGAATTACAGTTGACTTTTGATAATTCAAATTATCGAGAGAGAAAAAAATGTTAAGAGATGATATGCATTTTTCCAAGTTGTTACTTAAATTGTACATACATAAAACAGTAAAAATAATGAAAAAGCGGAAATACATTAACTGTAAAATTGAACATAGTTACATATTATTACAAAAAAAAAAAAATTGAAGTGGTTTTTGTTTCAATGTGGCCTGGCTTCCTTTGTTCAAATAATTTTCCAAAATGAGGACACATTGCTAAAACGCTGACTGCAGAATATAAAAAAAACTACAGGAAATTCTAAAAAGGCTGTAAGGAAATAAACAATACATGGAAATTTAGAGGATTATAACAATGAAAAAGTGTAAATTATAAAGATAAGAAGTGGTTCAATTAATAATAGTAGCATGCCTTTTCTCCCCCTGTTAAGAAAAATATTTCATATTTCCGAGTGTATCAAAATGCAAAGAATTTTTCAATTTACTGAAGTGACCTGCTAAGGAGTTAGTATTATCAAGAAATTGGAATTAACAAGAGTTGACTGTACTAAACTTTTATTAATTAACTTGTACATTTTCAACAAATGCTATTATCTGCAATATAATATGATAATATATGTTAATGTTAACAACTGGGGTAGTAACTTATTCTATATGCATTTTAGAAAATGTATGAATGTAGAAAGTGATTCTGAATTATTTTCTGAGCATGGTTTAAAATATGTGTGCTTTGCAGGCTTACCAGGAGGACCACCACCACCTCCTCCTCCAGATCAAAGAGGACCACCTCCGAGGCCAGATTGGAACAGGCCACCTGGAATGCAAGGACCAGGTGGGTTCATGCCTCATCAGCAAGGAATGCCGCTTCAAGGACCCCCTGCTCCTGGTCAGGGCCCTCCGAACCGAGGTCCCCCTCCTCCACAGATGGGCGGTGGACCCCCACAAGGTGGCGGAGGATCGCATGGAAACCCTTCTTTCTTTCCTCAAGGAAATATGCACCAACAACATAACGGGCCGCCACAGGGTCCTCCACCTGGGCCTCAAGGGCCTCCCCAAAGTTCTCACGGGCCTCCGCCGGGTTACGGCCCTCCTCCTCAAACGAGGATGCATCAGTATGTTGGAGGTCCTCCTCCTCCAGAGCATAGGCCTGAAACACCCGCCCTTTCTGAAACTGAATTTGAAGAAATAATGGCAAGAAATAGGACAGTATCGAGTTCTGCAATAGCTAGAGCTGTTTCAGATGCGGCGACCGGAGAATATTCCAGTGCTATTGAGACACTGGTCACAGCTATTTCTCTTATTAAACAGTCGAAAGCCTCAAATGATGACAGATGCAAGATACTTGTTTCAGCGCTTCAAGATACTCTACATGGTGTTGAAACAAAAAGCTACGGCCCGAGGAGAGATAGGTCGAGATCTCGGGATAGGGATCGAGCACATCGTAGATCCAGAAGAGAGAGATCCCGGACAAGAGATAGAGAATATAGAGACAGGAGCAGAGACAGGGATCGTGAGAGGGACAAATATTATGCCGATTATGCCCGAGATAGGTCTAGGTCTCGGGACAGGGAACGTGACTACAGGGATAGAAGTAGGGAAGACAGTTCAGCCAGGCAGAATGTCCGCTCGAGGATGAAATCGCCAGATCCACCTGATACCACATCAGTTGGAAGCTCTAAATCCCGTTATTATGACGATCGTTATCGGGATAGGGATAGGGAAAGGGAGAGGGAATCGAATAGAAGGGAGTCAGACCGAGATAGGGATCGTGACAGGGACAGAGATCAGAGAGACAGGGAGAGGGCGGAATCGTCCCACAGAAGCTCCAGGCATTGATCTCCATGAGTAGTAAGTCCATTTCCCTTTGCTCAAGAGCAAATTCATATGTAAAGAATAACATTACAGAAAGAACTATTCCTTACATCCTTCTAACATTACTTACCTTGTAAGAAATTTTTATTAGACTTGCCTTTATTATTTTATTTCTTAGTAAATAAATAAAATAAGACTCTTTAACTTCTACCCCTCTCTGAGAGTCATTTGCTTCCTTTTTTTTCTCAATTACTTTCTATTACTTTCATTTCTTTTTAAATGACTATTAACAATAGCATTACGTCTAAATTGTCACAACGTTAATTGTAACAGTGTTAGACGTGTCTAAGTACTGATACATTTAACACAGAACTTGTTATTGTAATACCTGTGACAACATGAAATAAATAAGAAGAACAGGAAACAAGAGGAACTATAAAAATATTGCTTTACATCAACATTTTCATTTCGTCAATGCTAAATAATATAAAACTAGTTTTATCTGAGAATTTGAATAGTAAAACACTATTGGAATTGTCACCTCTTTATTTTATAGTTTGATGAGAATAATAAAATATGTGTACAATTATTATTGTAATTGTTTAAATCATTCTTTACCTGTTTTCCGTACCTTGTTTTGTATATTGTTCTCAATTTTTACATTTTTATCCTTAAAAAATCTTTTTTTATTTTTTTATCATTTCTTTTTTATTTGTTCTAGATTTAAAACATGCCTTGTTTTATATTAGTTTTAATTTCATTTCTTTTTTTACTTTGTTATATTATTAATGAATTATTTATTATAGTTGTAAGTTATGCTGTGTAATTAAAGGTGTTTATGGTAAAACAGGTCCAAATCCATGGTTTGCAAAACAATTGAGAAATTGTAAACAACTTTTAGAATAATAGACTGAGGGGAGAAGTCCTAAATTGGTAAAAAGGGTATAGAACAATTGTAACTGTTTAGTACTAATTTCTAAACAAGACATTTTGTAAAACAAACAAAAAAACTAAAAATTTACAGTATTATTTAAAATGCTCTTTATTTTTAGAAACAAAAAAAATGAAATTGGTTGTAAATATGATTTTAAATATGCAAAAGAAAGTCATTTGTACAGTAATGTTAAATATTATTGTCTTAAAGGTCTGAAAAGGTAGTGCTGATAATATAGAAAACAATAGTAAACAATAAATTAAAAAATATTTATTTTTCCGATGTAAACACAACAAAATTGTCAACATTTTTATCGGTGGCTTTAATATGTCTGTTAGCGTTGGTAAGGTTTGTAGATAAAATTTGTACATAATATTTATATTTTTTATAAGTACTCGCCTCCTCGCATGAGGTGTAATGGCTTTTTTTTATTTTATAATATTGACTGTAATGTAAGACCAGTGATATTTATTTTTATAATGTTCATTATTTATTATACCAAAGACATGTTAACGAATCTGTGAGAAAGATAAAAATATAACAATAATAAAGAGAGGTTTTGGTCTCTGCTTGATTGTGACATTCAAGTAAATTGCGATTTTGAACTTGGTCACATTTATGTAATAATTTTTAAAATAAATACACTAGCATGAGTATTGCTAGCTAATATAATATTAAACTCGGTATAAATGTACTGGATTTTGTTAAAATGGTCTGTTTTTATTTTATTGTAGTTGAAAACTGTGCATTTTCTATTTATAACTTTCGGTCCATTATATTTTCAATTATTAAGAAATTTTTTTAAAATATTACTCATGACTGACCAAAACCAAAAAATGAGCTTTAAAATCTAGTCCGCTTAATTTATATGATTTTTTTTAAACAACTTAGCTGTATTATAAAACCAATAATAAATCTTACAATACACTGCTACACGACTTATGATTGAATATTGGAGGGTTTACCCTTGAGCAGTAGTAAGCGATATTGTAAATTGTCTGCTGCAAATTCTTGCTTGACCAGTCACAAAACAAACAAAAAATTTGTTGAATCACTTGCTTTGTTAATTTTTTTCTTGCTCTTGTTTTATATGAAACTGTATAAAAGTGGTTTGGTGACTACACAATTCATCATGAATCATTTGATCATTTTTTACATTATTACCAACTGCTGAATAACTGATCTCATATTTTTTGAAACTTTTTCCAAAAGAGAAAAAGGATTTTGATGGAGTAATCCAAATATATAACTTGAGTGTTCTTCACCTTGCAAATTGAAAGTATTAGCCCAATGAAGATAGCCTTTGATGATCCAGACTATTCGGTATTATCTTTAAAATTGAATTCAATATTTCCTTGATTTGTTTTGCTAGTATATTAAAATTGAAGTCTTGTCTTGGAAGACATGAATCAGGAAGTGTTGGTTGCCAGTTAGTTCATTTTGATCGTGTTTTCTTTTTTTAACTACACACTTCTTAAAATTACATTTGTCTAGTCGATAAAAAAGGGAAATGTATTTGAATTTAAGAAATATAAAACAGATTCCTGTAGTGTCCTTATTGCACAAAACATTTCACATAAGTGCACACGTGCTTGCATGTGAACATAGATGTGTATACATTATTTTTTAATTAAGCGTTTTAATGGTTAAGGTGAGTTTCGCTTAAATTTAAATGCAATTTATTACAAATAAAAATATTAATCTTCGTGGTTCAAAAACACTTGTCAAAAAAGAACATACAGGCAGGCATGTAAGTTTTACCCAAGTTCATTTGTTATAAATCAATTTTCATAATTTTATAGAAATGAATACTCCATATTGGAATGTCTTCACTACAATACGGTTAGTTTCAAGTTTTATTTCAACATATCGGCAAATTAAAATATTTTTAGATTGTTGTTTTCATTGGAAACATTGGGTTTTTTAGTTAGGTTATGAAATTGGGCAATTTTCTTGCATACCCAAAAAGCTGATGTATCAGTAAAAAAAGCTTTCTTCTTAAAGGAAAAATGTGTTTCTAAAGTTCGCATAATACAGGTAAAGCTGGTTTCCTTGTATTTTGGATTTTTATTAAATAATAACATGACAAAACTATGTCTATGACTTAGTATGGATATGGATAAATCATAAACCAAAGCTATCCCATGCATCAAGTTTTACACTATAGAATATGTGGGGTGATTAGTGACCGTTAATCGATATTTATTTAGAAATCTTGAGCTGCGGTCTGGTGTGATGTAGGTTTCAGAAAAACATTTTCTTTATCGTGCCAACGTTTCGATCTTTATTGAGATCATCTTCAGGGTCTGGGATTTACAAACATTGTTTACATATAACAATTACATTTTGGATGTGGAAAAGTGAATTTATACAATGCAAAATATATTTTTTATATATTCAATCAGAAGAAAAACACTGAATGAGTAGAAATACTTTGATTGAATATAAAAAATATATTTTGCATTGTATAAATTCACTTTTCCACATCCAAAATGTAATTGTTATATGTAAACGATGTTTGTAAATCCCAGGCCCTGAAGATGATCTCAATAAAGATCGAAACGGCACGATAAAGAAAATGTTTTTCTGAAACCTACATCACACCAGAACGCATCTCATGATTTCTAAATAACTATAGAATATATATACAGTTTTAAAGTAATAAATTAAACAGTTATTACCAAATTGAAAGACGTTTTGATCAGTGATAACTATAGCCAGGATTTATATGCAATAAAAATCCTTAAATATGCCATACAATGTGTTCTAAAAAAACCCACAAATATAGAAAATTATATGCAATAAACAAAAAACTTATGCCATTATAATTAGTTCTAAAAATATTAAAATATGCAGGATGAATGTCAGAAATATACCCAACTAATAATTCAACTTTTTATTTATTATTTTTACAAATGGTATTGGTTACTGCAACAGTTTAGGTGTTATAAAGGCGCTCATCACCATTAGGTGCAGGCCCTGGGTTCGAATCCAGCAGCTCTGCATTCGAACCAGACATATTTACTAATGGACTTTTTTCCAAAGCACCCCGAGGGTTCAAATATACTTTTTGAAATACCCCCATAATTTTTTTTTAATATAAACATATTTTTTAGTCTAGAACTTGTCTAGAATTTGTTTTCAACGGAAATGGAACAGAAAAATTATAACCACAAAAAATAATAATAAATATAATTTTAAATGTTATAAAAAATAAATAATCATGCATAATTAAGTTCATGACCTGATTTCAAAGTTAGTTTCTATAAAACTATAGCATTTATCATTCAGGAAATACTTGTATGTATCTACCTCAAAAAGACTTTTCAACAAAAACAGTTGGGCATATATGTAGGAATAATAAAATAAATGTCTTTTCCCCATATAATAACTGAATTGTTTCCATTTAAGATTTCATTAATTTTCCTCGATTCAGACAATCTGGTATTTTTATCAGGGATTTTTTAAAATTTATTTTGAAATATAATTCCTGCTTTGCTGGGGATTTTAATAATTTCTGTTTTACCTGATTTTGCCAGCATCCAATAAGTTCCCACTTCTAGCATTTCTTTAGACTAAGTTCGAAAAGTGAGAGGACTGACACTGTTTTTTGAATTTCTTATATGAGATGAACGCATGATAAAAAGCTGATTATTTCAAGCAACATCTACTTTTTTCTTTCTCACAACAGTAAAGGTCATATCAACCCTCAGGGTGCTGGAGTTTTTGAAAAAAAAGCCCATTTGTAAGTATGTTGGGTTCGAATGCAGGGCTGCTGGATTCGAACCCAAGACCTTTACCTTACAATGATGATTGCCATGTCAATGCCTAAACTGTTGCAGCCACCGACGCCCCTTAACATCTATTGTGTTGGTTTGTTTTGTACCTGGGAAATTGACTGAAATCCGAATCAAATTTGTGTTGCCTAGTTTATTTTTATTTTTCTAAGTAACCAAAATTATTTCAAATTTAGCAAAAAGAAGCTGCAATTACTTAGACATTCAGGGTCTAGTTTTAACAGAAAAAAAAATTTACTGACATCCAAAATTCAGAAATTTCTTATGAATAAATTTAACAAAATTATATAATTTGGCTATTATGATCAAGTTTTCACTAGGTTACTGAATTGAGCTTTTAATGCAAGAATCATTGATTTTGAGTTTTGGCTGTCGAGGATCAGACCTTGGTCCAGCCATTAAATTCAGCTTTCAATGCATGCAATTTTTAAACCTAGAAACACTCATTCATTCTTAAAAGCATTCTTTCTTATTTACAAACCATTTACTAAAGTAGGATATTGCAGAACTTGATATTTCTTTATCACCCTTTACACATTTGTGCTAAGATAATTGAGGGTCGATGAGGTACTCAATATTTCATCACTGGACCTCTCCTTAAAAAAAATGAGACATACATTGTACACAACTACATTACACAATAAAATAGATCTTTCCTCCAAAAATCAGAATGGTGTACCAATACTTGCTGTGTTCAACTAAATTTCTAATATCAGGTGGCAGGCATACTTGCTCTCTATATGGAGCCAAGGAATGCCACCATTGAATTATGTGTGACATATTGAGCAACCTTTCTATACATGCCGGTCATATGCGTAAGTAAGCATCCATGTGTCAACCTCACATGGCCTATTCTTAGGCTTCTTCTTTATATTAAATAAAATTGTGCCTTGTAGAGAAGAAGATAATTGGCAATACATATTAAAATTAGACAACTAAGATTCTTTTATGAAAATAAATTATTTATCTTTTTTTAACATTTGAACCTAAGTGTATTAGTGCATAGAATAATTAAAGTACTTCGCTAAGTAAGGTAATAAAAAAAATGTTACACAAGTTGTTGAAAATATATATTCATATAAATAAATAAAATTAAATGTTTTATATTGGCAATGCCAGCAGACTAATATCCTCATTGCCGAATTCTTTTGTGTCTATTACAATAGACGATGCAAATTGCTCAAAAGCTGTCCTCATCGCTTCTCCATTTTCAAGCACATTCACATTGACATAAGTGATATTTGCTAAAGATCCAGCTGTAAAGTGAAAACATTAACTATATATCAAAAACTGGAGATTGGGTAAGGCAGCAGCTAATGTACATAGTTCAGGTGTTTGTGGTTTCATGGTCGTATCTTTGCAGTTTGCAATAACCAAAGCATTGTTATGTGGTAGTATTGTTTTCTTAACAAAGTTTTCGTAGAACCTGTCCAGCTCCGGGAGTTGTGAGGCCTCTTCAGGGTTGAAAACAAGGACGACCCCATTGACTTCCCAAAGGAATACTGGCCATACATTTTCATATCTGAAATTTACAAGACGTTAATATTATTTTCAGTTTCTATTATCATTTTGAAATTTACTTATCATCTCCAGAACAGTCCCATAGTTCTATTTCGATTTTTCTCTGAGGGATTTCAAATTCTAGAATCCGGACACCCTGAGTCGGCCTGTAATCTTCAATGTTATAGTCAATGGCATCAGACAGGAAATTGGAAACTGTTGACTTCCCAGACTGGAATTTGTAGTTTTATTAATTTTATTAAAGATTAGCCTAATTGAACACACAGAAAATCATGAAATCTTTGATAATTCTTAATGTATTCAGTACAAATATATTGCACTTGCAAAAGTGTAAAAACTGTATTAGTAGTAAAAGTTTTGATATGTACGTAATCAAAAAGTATAATCATAAAAATCGACAACATATTCTTTTATGTATTAAGCAAATCAAACATTTTATTGTTTAATTACATAAATATTTAACGAAAAGATCATCAGATCTACTACATGATGAATTATAAATGTTCACATTTGATGGTATAAAATTGGTCATTATAAATAAAGTAGCTTAAGTAAAATGTTTTACTTTCCTATTAAAAAATAATATTAGGGAAGTATTTACAGCATAGTAAATGTAAACATTGTTACCATCATGAAAAAAAAAATTAATATCAAAATATGTACCATTTTTGGGCCGATAACAACAATTTTTAGCTTGACCATTGCACACCTTTTGCACTTACATAAATTTAAACAAACCTTATTAACATTAAGTTGTAACAGTCAGTCCAAAACAGCTAGGAACGGTTCCCATGGAGATATTTCAAAACAATTGTCTACTGGGAAAGTTTCCCTGTGGCAAGGTGATTCTTATTTAAAAGAATTATAAATAACAAAAAAATACAAATAAAAAAATAAATATAAATATAGTAATTTTGTCATTTAAAAGATTATTTTATTAACTGTAAAACTACATGTTTGTTAGATGCATTGGTATGTACGTGTGCATTTAGCAAACGCTTGATTGCCCAGGACGATACTAACAAATTATTACTTTTTTAAACATACATAAAAGAAAAGAAAATATTACAAATGGAACAAATGATTAATATTTAAATCAGATTGTTACATAATATTGTTTTGTTGTTGATTTGAGTTGCAAACATTTTTAATTTACAATAGTTATAGTTATAGCTTGGGTAGTATTTTTAAAAGATATGGCACAAGAAGATAGTATGCAAAGCACAAATAAGGTAGGTCTAAATTATTTTTTGATAACTTTCGATGGGGAAGAAAAAAAAAGCTTATGGCTTATTTTCAGCTTCAAGCAAGTACATCACGGAAGTCTTGTAACCCTTACATGGTTGAGGAGTTCTCCATGATTCGATTCAATACAGAATATCTTTTACATTACTTTGCTAATAGGAAGCAAGGGGAATTTTATGAGGTAATTGATATATGCATGTTGCATATTAACTTTCATTGAGGAAAAGTACACTTTTTTATGAGTTTTTCACTTTAGTTTTCATAGAAAGATAAAGTAATCACTTGAGAAAAATTAAAACACTGATTTACAAGAATGAAGTGATGAAATTATTATGCAAATTGTTTTAATTTTGTGCAAATCTTAGTGATCTCAAGAAAATAATTGTGTAGTAAATTAATAATAGAATTTAGTTGGTTAGCCATTAAGAGATCATAACCGTGGTCATCCTAGATGTGTCTGCCTGTTTCATTGATATTCTAAAGCATAAATGTTACTTATAAATGTTTCTTTATTTTAAGATTTTTTCTAATTTTTCCAACAAGGTTCTGACTTGCAAAAGATCTATTATTATCTCTTGACATGAAAAATTATTTAAATAATACAATATTTTGGACTTGTGTTTTACTTAATACGACAAAAAAAGACTGCCTACATCTTGGATTTTGTTCCACATGTTGGAATTTTTAATGGAAAGCTCTGACATTATTGTTTATTATTTTTTCATTTTATATTTACATTTTAATTGTTATAGCCATACTCTAGATTTTTAGGTATCTTTTCCCTTCTACAAGTTCCATGTTATCTGTGCATTTCGTTGTCATTCCAAATATAATACAAAAAATGTTTTTCCTTTTCAACTATTTTTATCTTATTTGCTGTGCACTTTGTCTGTATGGAAAGCTTTAGATGAAAATAAGGCTCATATAAACTCTAATTTAATGTATTTTTGATGCATTACTGGCCTGAGTCATTTCTGGACCCCTAATATTTCTGAGAAGGGATAGATAATAAATGAGGTGGTCACAAGATCTACCGCACCACAACCTGAGTAGATCTATTGTACTCCTCTATTTTTATAAGCTACTGGCCAGCTTCGGGTTGTTAGCCTTGGCAGTAGCTCCTTAGTGTATGATCTTGCTTGTGGCTTTTCCTCTCTCAGTTACAAATTATATATATTCTTAGTTTTACCTACATAGACCCTCACAAAAATACAGAATGTTTTTCTGCAGTCTCCTCTTCTTACTGACAGTACCTGCGGTATTTCTTCTGTTAGTACTTCTATCCTGTCTCAGGTGGCAGTGCCCAGTCAGATTCCAACCAGAATCCTGGCTCTGTTGTTGTTAAGTTACAGTAATTCTGTTGTAATTTTTGTGGATGGCCTTTCTATGAATCTCTTCACGTGTCTCATGCCTGGGGTGTTACTCAACCGGGTTTTAGACTCATTAATGATCCATTTTTGTGGCAAGGCTAGGCTATGGTTTGTGTCTTAGAGAATTCATATTGGCTCCTTTTTTGGCCAACTTGTTCACTTTCTCCTTGCCTCTATGACTTGAATGTCCATGGACCCGTGCCAGAGTCAGATCATTGATGTCACTGATTCCACATGATTTTTGCTTTTACCTTGCATAAGGGTCTTATGTACCGCTTGACTATCATAGAAAATAGCATCTTCTTAAAATGTCTTTTTATTTTTCTGGCACAGTAGTCAATTGCTGTAATTTCAGATTGAAAACTTGTAGTGTCTTTATGTAAGTTTAAAGTCAGTTCAGTCTTCAGATTCACCCCAAGGACTCCAGCTTTTGTGCTTCTATTTGCTTATAAGCCATTGGTATACCTGTAGGAAATTTTAGAAAAATTAGAGGAAGCCCACGAAGCTTTTAAAATGCATTTAATTGGAATACAATGAGCCTGGTTGTTTTTGTTCAAAGTGAAATCTACACATAGCAAAAAGTCTTTATATTGAAAAATTCTAAGGCTAAAAAATCACAAGGCAGCTTGTTCTACTGTGTCCAATTAATGAGCAGAAATTGAGAAAATGTGTTATTGTCAGTAAACAATAATGGCTATTTCAGATACTTTTTTACAGTACTTTAACTTTAAACTTAGAAATAGTTTAATTTTATATAAATATTAAAAATAATATATACAATTCTGCTTGATTTTTGTAGATATCGCCTTCCAAATATCTAAAAGAAATGTCAATGACTTCCAATGAAAGAAATTTTGTATTAATCAAAACATTAAAAAATCAAAGTCTTTCTTCAGAATTTGATATTCCTCCTGAATATTCTGTCGTACCGCCGACTTTAGTATTTCAATCCTGGGAACCAGGACATTGCTACAATTTGAAGTTTTCCTTGACTAATGTAACCCAGGTAGTCATAAATGCAATTTAACCATAACAGTGTATCACATGATCCAATTGTTTTATATGGAATTTCTTAGAAACCCCGAGAAGTGAAAATGCACTCACCTACGTCCGATGCATTCCAAGTTACATCTAATGCACCCATCCTGCAAATGAAACACCTCATGCCAAACCACCCATTGCCATTTTTAGTTACATTCTTACCCAAAGAACATGTCGATTACCAACATGTTGTGAAATTTGTTGATAAAGACAGAGTTTTTAAAGTACCAATTTTAGGTAGGTACTTATATAAAAATAAATATTTAATAATTAAAAAGCACAAATGTCTTCATTGTTTGAATTTTAGCCTTAGCTGAAAGGCCATTGTTAAAGTGTCCAGATGAAATAGTCCTTCATCCTTCTCCAGTAGGTGGTAAAGAAACAAAAAATATCACCATTCAGAATATCAGCTCAGTAAAAATAATTGGGCGTTTGGTTGCTGAATTGTATGTTAATTTATTTCTTAAGCTTATGGTATAATTTGTGATAAATATCTTATAAATTCTTTATTTTTTTACTGTTCTTAAAGGCCTTTTACAGTGGAACCTCCAAAAATTTCTCTAGATCCAGGCAAATTATTTACTATAAATATTCATTTTGTAAGTTCAGAGCTTGGCCCATGTTCAAGAAAACTTTATATTTACTTTGAAGGAGGTAAGATATATATATTTACACATATTTTGTTAGTTTAAGAAATAGAAATGCTTTTTTTACTTGATGGTTAAATTTGTATGTCTTACAATAGTGATACTGGGTGCAAAATTATCATGGCAAGATTGGCAAAATTGCTGAGTTGTAGAGTTGTAATGACTGACAAATTAAAACAGGTAAAATGGAGGGCCATAGAGAATATGGACAAAAAACAAATGATAATGATGACCCAATTACAAACTGGCCATAACAGACTGATGCCTAGGCATCTTTTAATTAACAAAAGGCCACTGAGATACCCCTTGTGCAGTACCCAAACAGTAATTATTTGTAGGGTGGGAACTATCCACTGAACAAGGTGTAGCTTTTCCGTGAATCCCAAAGGCATTCTAAGATACAGCAGTGATGGCAGCAAAAATTTGATTGGATACTTGAAAGGAATGGCTTTTTGCACGTGATTTGTCCCATCTAGAATGAATTAGCAGGAGTGGTTTGAGTAAATGGGTACGTAGTCAGAATAAAGAGAACCCCATGACCCACCAAATTAGGTTTGGTGTACACTAATGTATTTATTAGTTGAGTTAGTGAGTTTGTGCCAAAATATACAGTACTCCATAGACCAACAAAATTAGGTTAGTTTTTTTTAGGTTAATTGCTTTTAGATGATAGGAGGGAGGCCTGTAATATCCCATATCCCAGTGACACTATTTTATTAAATTGTATCCTAAATTTTATCCAGACATATTGTATGAAAGTATTTATTAAATTGAATGTTTATATATGTGTGGGTGAGTCTGTGACGGAATATACACTACTCCATAGATCCACCAGCCAATGTTAATTTATATTTTATATTTTTTAGTGATTGTGGGCAAGACACCGGCATGAAACCCTGATGCCTTCCAAATTTTTAATTGCCCATATTGCATGAAAGCATCTAGTTAGTGTGAATGTATTGATTTGCATGAATGATGGTGGATACTCAGCGGAATATCTAGTACGCCGAGACCCGGCAAACTTAGGTTAAACCACATATATGTACATGTTTACACAAGTTGCAGAGGCTTTTCACCACGTGGGGAAGGGCCAATTAAGAATGATAATAGAATCACAAAAATTCCATCAAAAATGAAAATTCTCTAGGCCCTGCTACTGGAAGCCAAATTTTTTCAACAAACTAGCTGGCCAGAAAAAATGTGAACTATGATGTTCTGAAATTTTTTATTGCTATTGAGCTGTAAACAATGTAGCTAATATTTCTTCAACATTCACACTAAAGTTTCTGTAGTTTTGTTGTGAGCATTAAATGGAAAATCTCAATGGTTTTACCTTTACATATGATTGGTTTTAGGGGAAGTCCTTACAGTTAAGCTAACAGCACAGACTTGCTTATGCAAAATAAACATTGAAGATAGTACAGTACATTTCGGCGGTGTTAATCTACAGTTAAAATCATGCAGAAAACTGAAAATAGAAAACAATTCAAATTTCACTGTAAATTTTGTGTGGAAAATGCATCCATCTCGTTTAATAGAAACAATAAACACCAAAAAGTGAATATAACATTCTTTAAAATATTTAAATCTATAGCACATAGTCTGCAAGCATCTTTTTCCAGACTCACTGAAATATATGCCGACTTGCTTGTGGAGCAAGAAAAACGTGCAGTGACGGATGACTACAAGATTGTCACTAAGCGGTTATTTTCAGATGAAGTAACTTTTGCAGGACAAGAGAGTTATCTGTTTAAGGATAAAAACTTTGACATATCTCCTCTAGTTAGTCAATATTTTATACTTACTATTCTATTGGTCAAACTTTTGTTAAAATATTAAATTATTGAATTATATTTTCTAGACTGGAAAAATCGGCCCACACTCGGTATTTATGTGCACATTAATATTTCATCCAACCGAAATTAAAGAATTTCGTACAATCGCACACCTTCAAGTAGACGGATTAATGGAGTTGTTTCATATCAGTTTGGAAGGAGATGGTATTGGTCCTGACATTGAGTTGGTTTCACATGTATTGGAATTATCTGAAGTATATGTAGCTCAAAAACATGATTATGAGGTATTTTATGAAACTTCAGTTGACAACAGTAATCAAAATGACAAATTTGAATTTTGGTGTAATTTAGCTTTCAGTCGGAAATTACGGCATTGTACCAGGCACAATAATCTTTAAAGAATCAGATTATAATGTACAATGCACACCACAGAGCCTTCTATTAATGCCAGGGGATGTGAACATCTTTACTATATCAATTAAATTTGACAAGCTAGAAAGAATACTTGGTGATATCTTTTTTGAAATTGTAGAATCGAAAAAAATCCTAAAATGTTTAATAATGTTTGTATTTTTGTGACATGAATGTAGAGAAAGATGTATTTTTTAAATATTTTTTTTAGAGGTGATGTTAAACTTGAAGATGTAAAATTCTTAGAAAGTGAAATTGATTTTGGAACAGTTAGTTTTGGTATTGGTCAAATGAATTATTGTAGTAACTATTTTTATCCAGGATGTTTGTACTCTATTCTACATTTTGCTGCAGGTGTCCAAAAATCCAAGTTTGTTAATGTAGTAAACAAAGGAGATTTTCCAGTCAGTTGTAAATTCATAGTCGAAAACGATGGACAAAACAAAGCAATAACTAGAGAAGCATTTATAAATGGAAATAGCATTGTGGACGTTCCTGAAAATGTAAAACAATTCTACATTGAACCAGAAGAGAAAACGTTGGCTCCGTTAGAATGCAGTGAAATCAAAGTATTGTTAAGACGATTAAAATTGTTAGAAGATGTTAAACATATTCTCTTCACAAATATTGCAGGTGTCTATCATTGCGAATAACTTCACCGACTCTGAAAACAGTTTGTACATTTACGGAAATGACAAGGACTATATCATTCATGAGATTAAATTAAAATATTACATAAAGGCAACATTTGTCACTGCATACCCAGATCAATTCAATTTGCGAACCTTTCTCATGTTTACGGAGCAAATGTACACCTTTGAAATCACAAATCCATTGGATACTGAAATATATTTTTCTCTTGATGTTCACTTTACAAAGGTGAGAATTTATCTGAGAATCGATTCAAATTTAATATTTCTTCTTGTGTCTCTTTTAGGGTAAAGGAACTACACAACTCGACCCCAGTGGATATCACATGTTAGAAGGATTTGAGAGTAAGCAAGTGACATTGACTCTAATCGCAGAATCATTAGGAAATGGAAATGTTGAAATTGTGTAAGTACTTTGTTTCAGGACATATTTTATTCCTTTATTTTTGTTCAATAACTCTGCATTATTATTATATTATTAATAATTATGAATAGAAAAACATACCAGGTATCGTCAAAGTAAGATAAGCATGCTTATCTAAAGCGGCTGTTCTACAAGAATGTAGCAACATAGTTTATTTATGAATAAATACGAGAAAATAACTTAATTTTTACTGTTAAATCTTTACAAAATGGATAAATTAAAAATATTAGTTAATCATCTCTTCTTTAAGCTTTACAGAAGCTATGTATATTATAGGCTGTAGAGAAGAAAGTTAGCATTAAATCAAATCAAAGAGATTTATTGAGAGGCAAACAACAGCTTACATACATTTTAGAATAAAGGGTCATCTTACATAATAGTTAAAATACATAAATGTACATAATACTTATAAAGACAATAATTACAAATTTGCATGATTTATAAATAACATGCACGTCATAGAGCTCTAGTTCAAGAAGCAAGTTCTGGCATTTTCTTTTAAAATTCTGCTTGCTTTTAAATTCAATTAGTTATCATATTTTGTTGTAAATATTTGCCATGGTGTACAGACTAGAGTGCTCATAAAGTGGAGTGTGTGGTTGGGTAGAGTGAATTTGTCCTTGAGCCTTAGTCATGTTATACCATAAAAGTTTTAAATTGTCTCAGTGGTCAGAGAATTTATTTATTATTTGTAGGATATAGCATCCAGGAACTGTTAATATGTTAAGCTGTTAAACTTAGTGGAACAACTGTCTCTGTATCTCTGCCGAAGAATCATTCTCAAAGCTCTCTTTTCAAGCAGGAAAACTTTATGAAACAGGTCCACAGCTCTGCCCTAGAGTCCAATGTCGCTAACACCTGACGTAAAAAGAGCATAATAGACTGTTAAGACTGGTGTACAAGTGGTTTCAATCTCTTGGATACAAAACATGCAACAGTCAATTTCCTCACCAGGAAAGTTGATCAAAATGAAAGCTATAGTGAAGTTCAGTACCTAAAAAACTGTTTTGAATATATCAATTAATGATTTCTGAGTATTTATATACCATAAAATTGCATGGATCTCTGTTTGGATGTTTTTGTTAATTAGGGAGTTTGCTAGGTATAATTTTCATGCATCAGTTTGTCTCTCAGTTATCACAGTTTTCCTACTTTATTTATTCTTTTTTTTTTTTTTTCAAATAATAAACTGTAATTAAAACTTTATTTTTAGGACACAAATATTAGGACAAGATGAGATAAAATGTATATGTACTATGCCTTTTGTTTCAACTGCTCCTTATGTGAGTATTGAGCCAAAGTGGTTAAAGTGGAAGTCCATCGATTCAGAAATTGGTTTAAGCAAAAACTTATATTTAACAAACCCCGGATACGTTGATCTCGGATTTACTGTTCACATTGTAATGATACGATTAATGCACACAGCTTAGATAGTTTCTTATGATAATTTGTTTTAAAGGAACATCCTAATTTTTGGAGTATCAAACCTTCTACTGGAATAATCCGAGTAAATGAGAAAATCATGGTGGTAATCACACCACTACTTTTTGATATAGGGAAATTCAATTACAAAATGGTGTTTGAATTCACACATGAAACAAAACACATTGAAGTGATGTTGAGTGGCTTTTCGAGCATTTCCAACACAATAATATTTGATCCAAAAATTACTCCTTGCTGGGATATGGGAAACATATTTAAGTACGAAAAAAGCGTATGAACTGCATAAACATTGCGATTGATTTTTTTCCTTATTTCAGATGTTACAAACAAGTTCTTCCATTAACGATTAAAAATATTGGTATAAAAGAATATAATTTGAGTTTTATCACTGACAGTAAAGTTCCAATAAAAATGCTAAAGTGAGTCCCATCACATTCTTAGATAATGAACTACTTAATTCAACTGTTTAATGTTTTTCATGTTTACTATTTTTAGGAGTGCATTTAAGATTAGGCCAAATCAAGTTGACTTGAAGCCAGGGCAGAAAGAAGTCATCAAAGTAACAGTCTATAGTGAAGTGTAAGTTTTAAATAGGATAATTATGTTTAAAATCATTCTATTGAAAGGACAATATTTTTGTAATTATGTCAGCACATGATATTTAATTATTTATTTGATTCATGTATTTAGTGCACGTACAACTGAGGAGCAATTCTTTGTGTACACAATTTTATCGATGCAAGGGAAGAAAGTTCTGTTGTTCCCAGTTACATTTAAAGTTAACGTATTTGACATGGATTTAATAGTCAATCCAAGAAGTATTTCATTCGATCTCAGCTTTTCTCAATTCAATCTTGATAAGAATATATATGAAAGTAAATTATTGTTTAATTTTTAAAAATAGCCAGATCATAACGGAAATTGTATAATTTTTAGAAGTGATCAATATTGGGACATACACTAATTTGGTATCATCGGTAAATTGCACACTAAATGATCCTCATTTTAAAATTTTATCCGAAAGTGGTGCAAAGGTCAATGAGCTCAATGTACCAGTTGAGGAAGGTGAAATTTATCAGCTCAAGATTGTCTGCTGTCCAAACAAAAAACTCCTCAATTGTTCCCAAGTTTTGAATACAAAAATGATTATAAGAGATAAAACTTTCAACTTAATTGTAACTATTTTGATTTTAATTGCCAGTATAATACCTTTTACTGAACATACATTATATAATATAAAAGTGGGATGTCGCAGACGAGGGGGTCAAATCAATTGCAATATTTATTTTAAATTAATCTCAATGGAAATTCCATGTATTATGTTGAAATTTGAACCAACTGCTAGCATGGCAAAACATGTTTCATGCCATAACCATGCTATGGTAGTTTCCCATTATACAATAAATATAATGTATGTTTGCTTCAGTATCAATTAAGATCGATGTTCAAAAAGTTATCCATGATTATTTTTGGTCTCAATGAGTGAAATTTATGAATTATAGAGAAATATTATTGTAACTTGATTTCATTTCAGGTCCCTGTTAGCATCCAAGTGTCAATTACTTTTGCAAATTTGGAGATTAAAAACAGGATTATTGACTTTGGCTGTGTGAGCCCTGGGCGGGAAAATAAATTTTCTTTAGAAGTGTTTAACAACTGTTCATTTCCTGTGTATTTCTCATGGCTCTGGGAAACAGTTGATATTTTTCCATATATTTCATCAGTAAATCACTGAAATCAATACAATAATTAACACGGTATGAATTATTTTGTAAAAACTATTTTTTTTAGTCCAAAAATTTAAAATCCATTGTGTCTTCTACATTGGATCAAGTTTCAATAAAGGTATAAAGTTTATATTAAACAAATTCATGTGATGTAATATGCATTTTATTTGACAGCAAAAATTGGCGACCACAAAGATCAGACAATTATCTCACTTTCAGGTAAATGGCATAGTGTTAATTTAAATTTTGCAATTATATCTTTTTTTCTTTGATTGTGAAACAAAATGCATAAAAATACATTTTAAACTGTTTGTAAAATACATTGGTAAAAAAAGAAGTGGGAAGTTTTTTCAGAAACGATTTGTTTCATTACCAACCACTTTCGCGCAATTTGAATTACTGTTTTAAATTAATATACACATAACATTGCCATATATTATGCTTTGTAATATTGGTTGTTATTTAAGCATAACTTGATAATGGGCGTGTATTTTACCTGAGTGTATTAATTTAAAAATTCATAAAAATCAACAAAAACATTTTATTTCAATTTAAAAATAAGACTGATTTTTAATTATACTTTTTCAGCTTGGTTTCGTTAGTTCAGATGAACTACTTGCAAAATCAAAAGATAAGCCTCCTCAAAAAAATGTAAATTTCTTTACTTACGATAGTTGGATTTAAGAATCTAACGTTTTCTGATTTGAAATTTAGGCTGCATTGAAGCATTCAAAAAAAGCTGAGATCCTCTTTGAAGATGACAGTGACCCTTTACTAACAAAACAGAGATTGGTAAGTCTTTTAACAAACAGATAAAAAATATTTATATAAATTATTAACATTGTTTTAGATTACCACTGTTTTATATCCATTCATTTCAAAGTTTAAAACATCTCACGCGACTTTTTATTCATTTATGCCATCAGAACCACCCTCAAGTAGTGCCACAAACGTATGTCTAGTATTATAAAAGGATGTTAAAATGATATTTTTGATATATAGTCTAGATAATTGCCCAATTCCTCAAAATACAAATTTATAAACTTTTTTATATATAGGATGTAATATGCATTTTAAACTAAATAAGGCAATATTGTTCTTTGTCCAGCTCATTACAATACATCCCACATTTGGTTTTTTACCTCCAAATGAAAGCCATGTTTTTGATGTTTATTTCTTACCTCAAGAACCACTTGATATATCTGGTCTAGCTTCGAGCATCAGAATGAATGGGTACAAAGACATAATTGAAATTGCTGGAGGATGCAGGGATAAGATAAACCTCGAGGTTTCAGAAGTTTTTGACTTTGGATACAAGGTTAGGGATTTACTTTTTTTTAAATTAAATTTATTCTAATTTCATTTGACATTTTAAGCCTTTCTGTGAAATTTGGGAAGGAAAAATCGTTATGACAAATAAAGAAGATTTTTGGATCAGCTATGATTTGTGCTTTGAGACAGAAGTTCAAAAGTATATGATATGCTGCAATCCAGGAAAATGCTTTTTCTTCCCCCTTCAAGGTGTCATAGATCCTGGCAAAAAAGCTGAAATCACCATTAATGTTTTCCCTGCAGTTCCAACGGTCATAAGCCATGAATTAAGAATAATTGTATGTGCATTATTGTATTATTATTACATATCTATGTTGAGTTATATTTGTATAGATGTGGCGTGATGACCAATTATCAAAATTTAAATTAATTTCCTATTATGCATTCTTTTACAAATATATATCAATGTCATATAGGTAAAGATAAATTGGTTTTCAGATGACCAAAAAATAATGATTTATTTGAATCTGTACAAATTTTGTTCAGGCTAAATGCAATAACTGAGTTTCTAGGTTTGTGAAACATTCGAGTTTAATGTGAAGATCATAGGTACTGCAACTTCAGTGGAGTTGACCGTTGATTTATCACCTGAAGAAATTGTAGGTTTGCCTTTGGAATATAAGTACATGGCAATAGACAAACTTGTGAAAGAATGTCTTGAAAATGAAAGATCAGAAGAGGAAAGTTTATTATCAAATATGAAAAGTATTTGCTTGACTAGTCCCGAGTTGATGAATTGGGAAATTGTTTCTTTCGATGTAAAGTATTTAGCTATAAAGTATTGGTTTAACTTTTTAATGCATTTACAGTAAAATATTTCCCTCTACAGGATGTTCCATCGTTAGAAGATTTGGACAAAGCTAATCATAAAGCATTATCTGAACTGTATGCCATTTCATTTCCTTCTTGGGTAGTTGACCATGCACGAGAAAAGAGCAAAACGTTTCATCTTCCAAGATTTGTGACACTAGGTTACATCCTTGGTAAAATCATTACAGCATGATTTATTGTAGTAATATTAAACTTTTTATGAACTTGACCATTTGTGGTTTTAGATTTGGACTATACATTGATGGACGTCGGTTCAAGACATACTGTAACGTTAAAAAATTGTGGCAAAATTCCTGTCACATTTTCTATTATCATACTGCAAGACAAGTATGCAGTTAGGCGACTTGGTTTCAAAATTGTATGCAATTTTCACACCCTCGAAGCCGGTGAAGAGAGGGATATGCATGTTTTATTGTTGCCTAAATCAAGACGGCTAAGTAAGCTTGTCAAAAATTATTCTATCCCTTTGGAAGTAATAGTTGAATTAAAGGTCTGTTTTCTAATTTGTTATAATAATAAAAACATTTCCACTTACTATTAAATAAATGCCATTTCAGATTAAATGCGGTCCAATAATCCCAATTACTGTAAAATCAATTATATCAATACCTTATTTGGTCCTTCCTGAAATAGTAGATTTTGGTATTGTCAAATGTGGCCAAAAAAGGATTATGAAAGTGAACATAATAAACGAGTAAGTTAATCGACTGTTGAATATATCACTATACAGTTAAAAAGTGTATATTGCTAACGACCAATTTTAGGGGTGCAGCGCCTGCACATTGGATAGCCGAAATTAAAAAAGTATATAGAAAAGAAACCAAATCAATAATTACTAAAGCGGTTGGAAATCCATTTTGGATTGTTGATTGCAAATCGATGGAATCCCCACCAAAAAGTCTGACAGTCATTGAAATCGCATTTGAACCAAATCACCAGGTCTTTTATTTACCCAAGCCCATTAAATTAATTTATTTCATTTATTATTATTTTTTAGGGAAACTATAAAGGTGAAATCAATTTCATTGTGGACTGGAACAGTGACTACTTTGCTATAAAACTGAAAGGGAAAGTAATTGAACCAAGAGTTCATATTGACATTACAGATTTGGATTTTGGGAGGGTTGTACCATTCCAAAGCATTCTGGAGAAGACAGTGACACTCACAAATCCATGTCCATTCCCTATTGAGGTGTTTTCTCCTACGATTGACAAGTACAGTTCTAGTTTTATTATATATGCTATAAATATCGTAATGTTTTTGACATTTTAGGCAGTTCCAATTTGAGAACAAAGTAATAAATAGTTTACTCAGGTACTACAAAACAGATGAACTTTATGTTCCAAGTGAGATATACAAATCATCGATGAGCCAAGATTTTTTGACTTTATATGAAATGTTAATAACTAAAGCCAAAGAATTCTTCTATATTTTAAATGAAGAAATGTTTGGAGAGATTGACAATGATCAAATTGTCAATGGTATGACAAAAAAATTATAGTTATGGATTTGTGTAAAACATTTGTATTTGGGCTGCTAGATTATCTCTCTGCACTTGAAGAAAACCCTTCTCTGCCGACTGAAGATTTAATTAAAACATTGACATCAAGAAAAGCTTTGGTAGATCATAGTAAGAACAGCTCGATAGTGGTTGTGATTGGTTTTCCAAAAACAGGTAATCGCACTTTCTATGTTTTCAAACTCTCTTAACTTAAAGATTGCATTTATGTTTCCAGATCATGTATATATTGTCAATAAGATGGCAAAAAAATTGGGAATGACTGCGATGTCTTTAGATCAATTGATAATTGAGGAAATTGCTCTTTCTAATAGCCCAGAAGCAATTGAAGTGAGAGCGATTATAAACAGCGCTTACATGACATACTTGTCAAAGCATTCAGACACTTTGCCATCCACATTAAACACGCCAGATTTTGAAACAGACGCATATCATAGCCGTAATACAGATGCACATTTTTAACTAGGTTTGAAAAATTAACCAGTTTCAAAACAGTTCCAGAATGGCAGAAATTGGAAATAATGCAGATCAAAGTGGAAGTTCTGTCAAAGGATAATAGTACCAATGCTCAAATGTCATTAGGAGTAGATTTATTCAAAAAAGGAAAGTTGCAGACAAAGTTAAAAAACTCTAGAAAATCATCAACTCCATCATCTTCAGTGAAGAAAGATAATGAAAATATTCTCTTTTCACAAAGTCTTTCTTTAACATCACGAAACTTGCACGACTCTACATTTTTATCAATTCCAACTGAACTTTTAACAAAACTAATAAAAAATAGGTGATGTTCATATTATTTTTGTTATATTTCATTGATAACATAGATGTTATTACAGGATAAGAAAGATGGTTCCATTTAAGGGACTTATAATAGAACAAATAGTAGGACTGTTTGTTAAAGACTTGCTCACAGGAACAAAAATATGTATTAAAATAGGGGAGGAAATGAAAAGAATACATTTTCTCATTTTACACAATACAGTAGAATCAGCTAAAGAATATACAAAGAAGAAAAATGAAGAAGAACTTAAAAGTGAGTCGTCGTTTTTTTTTTTTTTTTTTTTTTTTTTTTTTTTTTTTTTTTTTTTTAACTAAAAGTAATTTGGTTTAAACTTTAGTAGGGTTATCACTAAAATAAATAAAAGTACAGCAAAATTAGAACTAAATACAAATTAAAAACAACACAGTATAATTCAGAAAAAACTATGAATGTTTTCCTAAATTTTACATTAAAACTATTTTTTTAAACATTTTTTTTATGTACGGTTTGAATGCAGGGCCGCTGGGTTCAATGCGTCAATGCTTAAACCTTTATGGCCACTGACGCCTCCACTTTGTATTATTAAAAATTGTTTAATTCAAAGAACGTTTACTTTCTGATTTAATAAAACTATGAAAATTCAGGTTAATTGTGGTACTTGTATTTCTTGAGATTTTTACATATTTTCAGTATGTTGAAATGTTACAATGTAAAAATCTTTGTTTTTCGATGTAGTTAAAGAACAGGCTACATACATTCATGCTAATGTGAGATTTAATGAAATAATGATGATGGATGGTGAAGAATTTAAACAACTGAGCACTGAGGATGCCCAAAACTATTTGAAAGAATTGACTTCCAGATTTATGCAATGCCATGGCATTCTTTGTAATCAGGTTCGTCTTTTTTATTTATGTTAGAAACTTACGGTTTAAGAAGATGCACAGATATAATCTTAATTGTTTAATTTTATACATATTGTATCAAATTTGTGTTATTGGACTGCAGGAAAAGGAAAAGTCTGTTTCAAATAGTTCGGAGAAAAAAAGAAAAAGGATGACAACTTTTTCAATAAAAGCTAAATCACAATGCAAACTAGGACTGAAGAAAACGCCAATGACCTCTAAATCCAAAGCTTTAGATGAGGCAAAAATACTTTCAATGAGCAAACATTCAATAAAAGAACAAGACGAGCAGGAAAATCTGACTATTAATACTTACTCCAGTAAATAATAATTGTATACAAAAGTAGAAAGATATGTTATTATAACATGACTCTGTATTTTAGCTATCGCACATGACTTTGAAGAGTTTAATGTTCAACTTACGGAAGTGTACGAATTGCTTGATATACTTCCAAGTAAAGAGGTAACTAACTTTAGTTGGTTGATAACATAAGTAACATGACATTGGTTACTGCCTGTTTTAATAATTTCAACTTTTCCACAGCTTTCATTTGTTACGCCTGTTTCTTCCGTTAAAAAAAGTAAAAAGGACAAAAGAAAATCGGTCTATTTTGAACCAATTAACATTCAAACAAGTGACACTCAAGAAAGTGAAAAAGTAACTTTTTTGTAATATACCACTTTAAATTATAAATTCACAACCTTTTGAATATCTTGCAGAATGTGTACACATGGATCATTACACATCCTTCCCAAGATGATTCGTATAATTTGGAGATGTTATGTATGGCTCTAGCAAGTAACAAAAAATTTACAACCTTATTAGGTATAATTTTAATGTTATTAAATTGAAATTGTTAAATAGCAAGGTAAGCTATTAATGCTATTATATAATTAATTATTTCAGACCTGAAATCTTCAGAAAAAGTCGAAGATCCAAAGGTAACCACTTATTTCTGTATTCAACCATCACCTCTTCAATCTCGAAAAGAAGAAGAGGCGCCATTTTCTGTTTGTGATGTGAACAATGACTTGTACTTTTATAAAAGTCAGATTTATCAAACATCCACTCGATTTGAACATGACTGTGTGTATTTCTTCGTCAAATGTTATAAACAAGTTTATAATTTAATTCAAATCAAACAGTGTCTCAATGTAACTTCGATTCCGGAAGAGCCCGGATCTTCTTGAAACCTGGAGAAATGACACAACTAAAGATCACTTTCCAGCCAAAAGATTGTAAGCACTACAAAGAAAAGTTTGAATTTATGGTAGATAGTTGGCCGTTATCAAAACTGGTGCTGAATTGCCATGCTATTTGTGATATACCGACTATAAATGAAGATGTTACAAAAATATTTAAAAATGTAAGTATTAGTGGTTTGATATAAGCCAAGAAAACGGTAACATTAAAATAGAAAATAATTCAATTATTAATTAAAATAAATTTGACTTCTAAAAGGCATCTGCCTTGCCCTCTTCAGTTTTTATTTGGTATATGCATTCTAAGACAACATGGGAGGCAAAATGAATGTGTTTTATCCATTAGCTTTATTGTTTCACATCATACCAGTTAAAAGTGACCTATACATTTTAATAATTTATACACTTTACATAAATATTAAGTATACATTTTTTTAAATTTAATATATTTATTACAATCTGTATAAATCTGTACAATATATAATGAGTTGAATTCACAAATGACATGGATCATGTGATGTGAGGGGATTGAACAGCCAAATAATATAATGCATTAGTTAATTTTAAAAAAATATGTGTATAATATCTTTACAATTTATTGTATTTTCAGGTATGTAAGACTAGCAATGTTTATTCAAAAACTGGGCCAGTATATGAGTCAGACCTCAAGCAGTTTAATTTTGGTTGTACATTTGTGAACACTGATAACTGTGTTCAGAGGTAATGTTGCACCCCTTCCTCCGTTTCTGTAATAATTTTCCAATAAACCTTTTTAATTGTTCAATAAACCTTTTAGCCCGTATCTTAACCCAGCGACTTTTAAAATCAACAATGCATCTGACCTACCCATGTCGGTTTCATTTAGCATGTTCGCCCTTTTAGATTCACCGTTTATACTGGTGCCTACAAGCCTACAAATTGAGGTGAAATTGTAAACACTTAAAAATTAAATAAGATATGTCTAAAAATGTAATTAATTTGTTTTGAACAGCCCAAAGGCTATGGGTACTTGAAAGTGTATGCTTGTCCTACTCAAGTCACCATATTTGAAGATGATTTAATAATTTCAATTAAAGATAATCCCGCAATTACTTCCATAAAGGTATTTTATAAACGTCAAAAATCACATATATTTGTTTTAGAATGTATGTTTTATATGAATAGCTTGTCGGCGAAGGAATCAAATTAGATGTAGAATTCACACCGTCAATACTCTCTTTTGAAAATGTTTTAATTCACGACACTAGGAGTGAGCAGATTTTAATTAAAAACAAATCAAAGTTGCCAATATCTTGGGAATTAGAAAGTTGTAACAATGTAAATCAAATGAAGTGGTTTCCATTCGAAGGCGACCTTAAACCATCAGAAAAAGACACAATTACATTTCATTACTCACCTTTGATTGAAGAAACTAAAAAAGCATATGCAGTTTTCTCGGTAATTACATTATTCATATATATTATTTATTATATTTATATATATTTCTATTGATTTCCCCTTGTAATCCTCATCTTTTTGATTCTATATTCTGTTGGCCAATTTTAGATTTACAGATATAAAAAAAAGAACAAAATGTTAGGTAAATTGCAGCTAACCATGTATCTTTCTTCCTGTGACATCTTAATAGATATTGTTAGCAATAATAAAGAACCCCAATGCTTGGATTTTGGATCGATTTGGGTCGGAAAGGAAAAAGAATCCCAATTTTCTATAATAAATTTGGGAAAATCTTCAGTTCGTTTTAAGTAAGAAACAACCAAATTGGATGTACATCCAGCCATTTACTCTAACATAATGTAACAATTCTTTTTTTTTAAGATTACGGTTTGCAGCTGCAACTAAAAGAGGTTTATTTGAACCTGAAAAAGTTCTAAAATTGGGATGTTCTCATGGAAATCTTCATCCGAGAAAACCAGTCGACATAAATGTAAATTACCGTTTGTAGGAAGGGACAAAGGAAGAAAAATAAATAAATTGTTTATTATTTTCAGGTTGTGGCCTGTAGCACAGTGGCACTTACACTAAACAAAATCTGTGTACTCTTTGTTCAAATTTTGTTCAAAGATTCTGACCATATTGTAGCTGAGTTACCAGTATATGCAAGTTTAGAAGTGGGATATTCAAAGTAGGTCAAATAAAAAAATATACAAACATAGAATATAATCATGTGTGTATTTACAGATATGTGGTGTCGCCATTCTCAGAGTACAACTTTGGACCAACCGAAATGTATACTAAAAAAAAATATACTTTGACTATTAGCAATGTAGGGGCATTTCCTTTTGAATATATATTCAAATCCCAGAAAATACAACAGGAAACAGAATCCTGGCAAACTGGCTCACTGCAACTGAATAAATTAATAGCTTCAATCAATGAGAATAATTCGTTAATTAATTGGACAACAGTTGACCACAAACACGATGTAAGGGTAAATTATAAACATCCCTATTATAGTTTAAATTTTATATTCACACCAATTTGTTTCTCTGATTTCACATAAATGAGTAATACTCTTTGATTTTACAATATTATAGTCAAAAGCTTGTTGCTTTTCGCAATTCAATAAATAATAAAGGTGTGCGTTCAAGGATGCAATTTGATAATTTACAATAAATTAATGGCAGGCTTGAAGAATCACCTACCCTGGGATTTGGCAGACTGGGATCACACCTCAGTCTTTTCCAGCCACCAAAGTTGGGCTCGGGGTTCTGTGAATAGCTAGATCATTTCAGCCCCCAATGGAATCTGTTCCTAAATCCTTTCACACTCACTCTTACATTCTTACTTTTATATATATATATATATATATATATATATATATATATATACCATTCTCTCAGTTAGGGTAGTGGAATACTCAATATACCTCCATCACTCTACAGATATAGTAAAACTAACATAATTGAAGGTTGTTGGAGTACTGGATATTCCACTATCACCCCTCTCACACTACACATTCACACTAATAAATACATTCACTCTCAATACCCACAAGGACACAAAACCTAGAGGAGTGCAATATCAATCAAACAACCTGTTTCCTCCAAGAATAATCATTATATTCATCAATTTCTTTGAATATTTACTCATGCATTACTTTGTTGTTTCCAAATTCAGAAGAAGTCTCTAAAAAAGAAAAACGCATATTCTCATCAACAATCAAGAACACCATCAAAAGGTTTAGGAATGGGGGACCCTTCATTGGACTTATCCCTTAACAGTTTGGATTGGTAAATATTATGTTATGTAATATACAGTTGAGGGCACTCAAGGACCGGTAGTTATTGGGATACAATATTATTAAAGTAGCAGATACGCTAAAGTAATAGGGCAATAAACGTAAAATTTCATTTTATTTATAAATTTATAAAATAATCAATTTCCAGCAATTTAGGGAATTTTGAAATCTCAAATTACATGGGCAAATTACAGCCTGGTGAAATAGCCCAAGTTGAAATCATTTTTCATCCGTACGAAGAGGGTTCTATAACAGAGGTAATAAAAATAAATTTTCAAGTTCATGCTGTTGTACAGTATTTTATTTATTCTATTTCATTTTAAACAGATATTCGAACTACAAGTGGATTCAGCAGAACATATGAATAGAGTGACTCCAGTGAAGTTTCTAGGAGAAGGATGTGTTCCTAAAATAAGTACTTCTGAGAGAACAATGTTTAAGCATTTACATATTGCTACCGACAGAAATGCACTGGACTTATTAAAATCTTACGTATGTACACTCAGGCATATAATTATCAATATATATCTAATTTATTTATTCATAATATGTTGTTCTAATAACATTGAATGGTTCAACCTGGTTTAAGTTAAATACTTGTAGATTAAAAAAAAATAAAAACATGTATATGATAAATATTTCTATATATGATGTTAAATGCAAAGATTTAAAAAATAGTTAGAATGATTTTGTAAAAAAATTAAATGAATACAATTTATGTTTTTTTGAGGTTTTTGGGAGTTGAAAAAGGATTTTAAAATTTTTGCGATTTATATAGATCTATTTTGGAACCCCTACAAATTATAACTATATTTTGGGAAGTGCACTTTTTATTATAAACCTAAGCAATCAGTCATTGCTTCTTCATGCACCACTTATGGTTTGAGAATTGGCTTATCGAAGTGGCTACCGTAATTGGGCTAATGCTTCGTGTTCACGAAGTATGGGCAATTTAGGCACCTCCATACAAGTTTGGAATTTAAAGGATACGTATTTAGTACGTTAAGGCTGCCTGGTTGCATCTGTGCATCTTTCATATTTTTCTTTATTAACTCCTGTGCACATATTGATGTACCTTAGCTTGATTAAGGAGGATTAATCCAAGGGGCTTTGCTAGTGTATAGTTTGGCTTTTTACCCCTACACCTACTCCTTGTAACATCTTCAATCCATCTGTGCACCTTATTAGGACCTTTACTGAAACTTGGGGGCTACCTTTTTTCCAAATGTTCTATCGCCTATGCCCACTTGGACAGGTCTGTCAAAGTTGAGTTTTTCTCTCATTTTGCAAGGTACCATTATAGCAATCATATGTATTTTAATTCTCTCCAAAATTTTATGGTGGCTCATCCTTAGATCTGGCTTTAATTCTTTTTACTGAGGAGTCTGTTGGCACCTTAAACACTTGCAACAAATACCTCACTATAGACTGATATGATGAAAGAAATCCAGTAAATTTAATAACTGTTTGTTTATAATAATCAGAAGAACATAGTTTTTGTTTTGTTAAAGGTTTTTCTCTCAAGTCTAGTCATTCCCAAATTATCCAAAGAAAAAATATGTTTAAGTATTATTAAAAGTTTTCATAGTATTTATTATCTGTATTTCACATTTTGCAAGAGGTTGCATAGCAAATCAATAAATATGCCGCTGATCAGTATACATTTTTTGACATGTATAGCTTTTTTTGCAGGGAACTCCTTTTGCGGTATTTAAAAAAGAAGACCTTACCATTGATTTTTACCATACAGTTGTTGGTTTCTCACAAGAAATATTAATTGATCTTGAGAATGTTGGGCTCATTCCTATTAGGCTCAGGGGAAACCTTTACAACAGTTGTGAAAATAATTTCTCCTTTGAAAATGATTCAACTCACAAAATAATAACTATTGAGCCCTCGACGATTCAGACATTAACTATCAAGTTCACTCCTAAGACAGTAGATGTAATTGTCTATTTAACTTAACTTTATATATAACGACTATATGTTAGAAATGTTTAGTCATCAGATGCTGTACTTAATTTAATTATGAATTTGACACCGCCGTTGAAAGATATGGAATGTAATATATATTTACAAGGACATGGAGAGATCCCGAAGGTTGTTTTTACAGAATACATCAATGATGACCAACCGATTCTTGATCTTGGTGGAGCGATTATTGGAACTGGAGTTGGGTCAAACATAAGTTTTAAAAATGTTGGCAATGTTGTAGCAAAGGTGACAATTCACTTGTGCTTATTGATTAGTTTAAAAAAAGCGTAAAGATTGTTTTAAAACTTTGTATTTATTTAACAAAATTTTCAGATAATGTTGGAGTTTTTGGTGAACAGTGGCAAATTCAATCTCAGGATTTCAAAACACTCAAATCAATGGTTGAAACACCCTGCTGAACCAGACAGTACTTATCACTTTCTTTACAGTTTGTCTCAGGATAAAGATCTGACTAATTTGAATTTTTCGTTTTGCAGAACAATTGGGGGTGCCAATAGTTTTCACTTTACCAGTCGGTGAAATTGTAGATATGATCGTAGAGTACATACCCCTGAAGGAGCAAGAAGACATTTGCCACATGTTGCTTCATACAATTCATAATCCTTATGAAAAGCTTGAGCTTCTTATCAAGGGGAGAGGCATCCAGAAGGCTCTGACGATTGAAAATATACCTTTATTCACTATTGTGGATCATTCTGCAGAAGAAAAGACTAAGAACGTCACACACACTTATGACTTGACGTTTGATCCATGTTTACTGGGTTTGGCGAAAACTAGGAAAATTCGGCTGAGGAACAACAAATCAGAGATTCTTCGCCTGGTCGCTCCCACTCATCCCAACTTTCGTTTCATACCAACGCTTGCTCACATTGATGGAAATTCCTACCTAGATATGTTTGTAGTGTTCTTGGGCAGTGAAGAAGGTGTAAATGAGGTGAGTCTGTTGTAACTTGCAAATATAAATTTTTAAAAAATCACATATGATTACAAGTAGGAATTAGAAAAATATGACAATATGTTATTTAAATTGTATAAAATTTCAATTTGATCATCCTGGTCTGCTTTTCTTCACTATTTTTATTTTTTCAAAATCTACTAAACTAAAGGTAAACACTACTGCAGACCTCAACAAGAAATCTCACAAGATTAATATTAGTAATAATAATGTCACTCATTTGCCTCCATCAAATCATTAGCACGGAACCATGTCAAAATATCACAGATTGCTGATTATTTCACCCTCTATTCAGTAATAAGAATTTTGACGAAACTGTTAATAAAATGACACTGGCCCCCCAGGTTTTAGAATATTGGTTGAGAAAAATGGAGTTCATGGGCTTCACTAGTTATAGAAAATTATGAATCCCTCCTCCTATCTAGTTTGGTGACTTAAAAATCTGTGTGGTGATTAGTGACCGTTAATCGATAATTATTTAGAAATCATGAGATGCGGTCTGGTGTGATGTAGGTTTCAGAAAAACATTTTCTTTATTGTTTCCAGTCCCTGAAGATGATCTCAATAAAGATCGGAACGTTGGCACGATAAAGAAAATGTTTTTCTGAAACCTACATCACACCAGACCGCATCTCACGATTTCTGAACAATTAAAAATCTATGTGCTCCACATACAACTTCCTGGGTATAGTTTTGAACAAAAAACTTCTCTGGAACTCTCACATAGCATACACTGAAACAAGATATAAGAAGGCTTTATCATACTCAGATAACATCGAGAATCCAGTATGGAGCTCACACCAGCATACATTTACTGATTAAACTTGCTTTAAATTTCATGATTCAACCTACAACAAATGGAAATTCACCAGGGATCCACTGGACCTATCTTTGTTTAAAATTGTAAGGAATAAAGAGAGAAATATAGGCCACAAATCACAGACAATGACTGTTCATAAATTGCTCAATAAATTTACTAAGTCACTTTGGAACACTTAAAAACAAAATCGACAATTCTCACAAAGATTGTGAATACCCCTAATATATAAGTGTAAAGGGTATAAGTGTATTGTTCTACTTGATTTTTCCACTGCATTTGGTTCCTTAAATCATAATTTGCTCTCAATCTGCTCATCGCCTTCCAATTGCTTTTCCATCCTTCATTGTTTATATTAGAAATCTTAGATGCAATAAACTCTGGCTCTGGACACCAAGTAGACTCAGTGTATACTGATTTTTCTAAAGCTTTCGATAAAGTAAATCACACAATACTGTTAAGGAAACTAATGGAGTATGGTTTCACCGGAACTATCTTGAATTGGTTATCCAGCTTTCTCTCCGACAGAAAACAAATAGTCAAAATAAAATCATTTAAATCATGTCCCTTTGCGGCTTCCTCGGGAGTCCCGCAAGGGTCTCATCTTGGACCAGTTTTGTTTCTCTTATTTATTAATGATATCCATCTTGCTCTTCCTTCGGCTCAATTTTTATTATTTGCTAATGATCTGAAAATCTATTCCATAATCACTTCTCCTTCCGATTGCTTACAATTACAAAATTCTACCAATAATGTGCTAACCTGGTGCTCTAATAACATACTTGCTCTTAATGTTTTCAAATGCTACACAATTACATTCTCTCATAAGAAACAACCTTTTATTTATCTCTATACTCTCCATGATGTTCTTTTAACCCGGTCGTAAAGGATCTTGGTGTACTTTTTGATCAAAAGCTCAAGTTTAAAGAACATATTTCTTCAATAAAAAATAGATCTATGAAGATGCCAGGTTTCATCATCCGGAACACCTATGAATTTAAAAATCCTCTATGTTTTGTCCATCTTTATAAAGCTTTTGTACAACCCATACTAGAATACGCCACACTTGTTTGGAACCCATTCTATCTAAATTATCAAAAAATTCTTCAATCTGTACAAAAAATTTTTAAAAAAACTTTCCTACAAACTCAATCTTCCTCCGAATTCTGCCTACCCTGCAATCCGCTCTGAATTTAAACTTTTCGAACTGGCACTAAGAAGAGATTACTTTGATATTGTTTTTGTATTTAAATTATTAAACAATCTCATTGATAGTCCTTATCTCCTCTCTCAACTACAACTACATCCCTTCATACTCTCTTAAAACCTATAAATTATTTTATATTGAATTCCAAAGCTCTAACTACATGCTCTCTTCTCCTCTGCACAGAATGATGATCAAGAGTAACAACATCTGCAATAGCATTGACTTCTTCAATAGTTCTGTGCAATCTGTGAAAAACCTTATCCTACAACCTTAGTTGAATGCTTTTATATTTCATACTGTACAAAATTATTACATTTCATTTACTGGTTCAACTAATTCTCGCACTAGTCTTATTATACATTTACAAAGAGCATTATTTTCATTAAATATGTACCTAGTTATTGTAGTTTCAAGTGTCTTTCAGCTTTATTTTGTTTTCTCTGCCTTATTTGGTTAGTAATTATGTCTTTCATTTTTGTTATTCAGTTTTTACTCTTTAATTGTATTTTTATATTTATCATTTATATTTACCATTTATATTATTACCATGTATATACATCCTTATTCTTTTTATATATATATTATTTGTATTTTTACATATATTATTTATATTTTTTGTTATTGTAAAATGTCTTTTTTATAGTGGATTTTGATCCGTAAATAAATAAATAAAATCAACGGATCATATTTCATCCTATATTAATGCCTTCAGCAAATTAAATCAAATAAATGTCCTCAATATCTATCAACTATTTTTTTGTGAGTTCAACTCTATTTTGATAAATAATAGTTATCTTGTTTATATAAAAAATAAATATGTATTTTTTTAAATGTCATTTATTTTGTTAAGAAGATAAGTAAGTATATTTTGTTTTGCTGTAAATGGTCATTTGTAAACACTTCCACTTTTGTAGGAGTTGCTGTTACTGAAATACAGGCCTATTGTATATCATTCTAATGTAGGAATTGGAAACTGGACGAGGGATCCAAAGCTTTTTGAATTTTTAGCTCAAGAATCTTCAAATATAAGGTTACTATAACAGTACAAGAAAATAATCGTCAATTTAATTTATAACATTTTTGGTCAATTTGTCAATTTTTTTCCAGCTTTGACCATTTGAAACAGTTTTCTTTTGAATCCCCAAAGGAAACAGAACCACAATTTAGCGTTGTTGACAAGGATAAAGATTTTTCTATAACATTATTTGTAACAACCGAATGTTCTTCTATTAAAATGACTAGTTCAACAACAGAAATTAAGTTTCCTTCAACCTTAATGCTAGAGGTATACAAAATACTTTGTGAATCAGTTCAATAACTAACAAACTATTTGTCAATTTTCAGTCTAGTTATGCAATATTATTGCTGAAAAATACAGGGTTGGTTCCTATTGAATTTAATCTTCAATTTGGAGATGTTAAACAGGAACCATCCGATCCTTTGCTCGAATGGCAATGTTCGTTTGGCGACGAGGGAATAGAATATTTGCAGCAGTATAGGAAATTGTTTCCTTCGATCTCAGTCCAATCAAACATAGTTGTTCAAGGAGTAAAAAGGGTAAACATGCCAAAAACTTTAGAAAAAAGTGCGTTTGTTCACAATAATTATTCCTACTTTGAATTTCGTTAATTTCAAAGAGTTAAATTTTTACAGAAAATTTCGTTACAATCGAGGACTTGAATGACATTAATGTTTGCAAGGAGAATTCAGAAATTTATGAAAATAAAGGATACAAAGAAAATCAAGAGATTTTCAATCTTGAGTATTTAACTGAAGATGTGTCTGGTCTTGACCTTCTAATCAGTGATTCAGTCGATAATAGCCAAAGCATGATTTCTGTACAGAATGAAAGCAGTAAAGCATTGATTGTGTCATCAAATCAAGCCAAAAGATATACGCCTTATGATGTCGTACTGGGAGACAATCCATTTTCGTTATCACCACAGAATGGAGTCATTACGCCAAACAACTATGTCACAGTACAAATAAAATTTACACCCCACTTTGTTTATGACTATTCCACAACATTAATCTGCAAGTGAGTCAGTGATATTTTTGATATATTTTTTGAGAAAATGAAAAATGATTAAAAAGCAATTTTTTTGTCGATTTTCTAGTGCAAAATACTTCATGTGGAATGAAGAACCAGTTAAAATGGGAATAGTAAATTTGTCGGGTTCTGGCACCCCATCAATCTGTCATATTCTTCATAAAGAATCATATGTCCATGGCCTTGAAACTTATCCAGAATCAACCAGAGCTATTGAAATTGAAGCAAAGGGCGTTGGAAAAACATTTATCAAGTGATTTATTCTCACTTATTCTAGATTAAGATAATTTAAGTGAAATTTTACAAGTAATGTGTATGATTTACAACCAACTGTTACCAATTATGTACAACTTATTAATCCCGAGTAATCAAAATAATTAATTATTTCAAAATTATCCAGTTATCTAAATCCCATACAAGGACAAATAGTAACATCGCATTTTTCTCAATGAAAATTTAACAAAATGTCGTTTATTCCCTTACAAGGGAAGAGTGGATTTTTATTTTTTATTCTGTTTAATTTAAGCATAAAAGTATTTGATTATCTTTATCTAAAAGTCTTTGAACATTATCTATAATCTTCACTTGATAAAAAAATTTGTTTCTAGTGGTTTTCATCCCATTTTTATTTATTTCAATTTATGTTAAATTGTTAACTTAATTAGTTAGCTTTGAAGAATTTTGGTGGCCTAAAAACAGTTTCTTACTACTCTGAAAGTGATTGATTTGCTTGAAAATTTGACTGATTTTGTATCGAATTTTGAAACAAATTTTTCATTATTATAATTATTATTTATTTATTTTTTTTTTTTTTAAGGAAAATAACTTTAATGAACCCTTCAAAATTCTCCTACAATTTCTTTTGGAAAAAAATCTATGGCGATGATGATTCAAAAATTCTGTTTAGCTGCAGCACACAGTCTGGTGAATTAGCACCATTTTGGTTTATGCAAGTACGTAATATTATAATTATTTAACGTTATTTCACCTTAAATTGCTTTTTTTTCTTACAGATTCCCTTCAACTTTATACCTAGAGAATATGGTACATACCACTCATTGTGGCTTCTTGAAATACCGCGTTTCTCAATAAGCCAACCAATATTGTTTATTGGAAGGTCTAAACAGCCCAATATTTATTTTTCTCCTGCAGTCCTAAAATTGACACCTGGACCAATTGGTAATTTATACTAATTCTGAGTTCAAATTAAGATTTATACAGCACCTTCCTAAAAGAGTTTCGATTAAACAGATATTGAAAGATATGGAGATGGCACCTTGATAAATGAAGAAGAGTACACTATAACTTTTGCAGTTGATGAAAAATCATTGGCATGTGGAAGCCAAAGCCAAAAAATTCATATTTGTCCAATGGAAGGGACAGTGCATGGACGAAGCAAATTAAATTTCAGGTTTTTTATATATCTAACTTAAACACTTTTAGATTAAGTTTATCAACTTTAATTGTAAAAAAGTTTATATAAGATTAGCAAATGGCTTATTATTTGTAAAATTCTAGAATCAGTTTCAAACTAAGTACTATTGGAGAATTAAAACAAGCTGTGAAAATCAAAGTCTCGTCATGCAAAGATCCAATTAATTTTTATGTAGAAAGCAAATGTTTTGACTTAGAATGTGCAATTGTGTATATGTCTAATGACAGCCAGGTGAAGTTGCATCCAACAAAGACCAACGTTTTTGACATTGGAAGAGTAAGTTTTCAAGTTCATTTTATTTAGAACAAAATCGCATAATTTTAATGTTTAAAAAAAATCATAGATCCCTTTGAAAGTTCCTTATCATGTGGAATTTTTGATGGCTAATTATAGCAATAAGATGCTTAATTTCAACTGGGATTATGACAGGGATAAGGCTAAAGAATTATCCTTAGTAATAACCTTCGATTCACAAACGTTTTTAGGAGCACATGCTAAGACTAAACTTATCCACACAGTTCTTCCTATGAATACTGTCGCAATTACAGATTTTCATATCAGTTTAAAGGTGGTTTTCAATAGTTTTATTATTTATTATCTAAAAAACATAGTTGCCTTTTTACAGACTGATCAAGGTGCAGAATATGAAATAGTGCTCAATGGGATTGCAACTAAGCCTTTGTTTGACTTCAGTTTCAAGAAGTTTAACTTTGGCCCTTGCCTTGCTCAACAGTGTGATCTGAGAGTGAACAAGACAATACTTAAATTTTATAACAAAAGCCAAGAACAGTTATTGTAATTTTACTTCTTTTTTAATAAGACTATACCATTTTTAATTTAATAGCTGATTGTATTACAGATTAGAAAAGATCACACAAGACAGCAACCATCTAAAAGTGTCACTTTTTGAACATTTGGTTCCTCCTAGAAGCAGTCAGGACATCTTAATAGACTTTCTCCCTCGAGAAGCCTATAGATATGTCGACCACATTGATTTTCTTATAAACGGTGTTTATTCCGTACAGATTGAAATCTTGGGAGAGGGAATTTCAATGGCTGTATGTTGGTCAGTTGATTTCTACATCTATGACACGTCAATAATAAAATTCAAATAGGTTGGACCAGCAAATCCCTCCGGAACTGTTGTCAAATTTGATGATGTTTTGGTTGGAACAAGTCAGACAAAAACCAGGCAGATAGTCAATTTTAGTGTGGTTCCTATCCAATTATTATTAATCCTGGAAGAGAATAAATCATTAAAGATTGAGCCAACTGATGCATTTGTAATGAAACCAAAAGAAACAAAAATAATATCAATAACATACAGCCCTACTGTTAAAGAAACCATTTCAAGCCAGGTAGACTTACAATTCAAAAATCAATTACACAATTTTAACAATAGTGATTTATCCAGGTTATGATTAAGACAATGGATGATTTGAACCCTTTATTTGATTTGGTCTGCTCCAGTCTGCACACAAACATATATTTTGACATTTCAGTTATAAATTATGCCACTGTCGTAAAAGGCTGTAAAGTATCACAGCAAGTAGTGATTGTAAACAAAGGAGACACAGGACACTTGTAAGTACAAAAGAGAGATAAAATATTACTAATTTCCTTGAAGCACACAGTGGATGCAAAAAATAATATCACAAAACAAAGATTACAAATACCGCACCAATAATGAAATTTTATTTTCTCATTTGTCAAATGGTTAAATTTTTTTTTAAACAATTGCATCAAAAGGTTTACAATAAGTTTATTGCTTTCAAAGGGTTATGAATAATTTTTAATATATTTTATCAAGCTTTAAGTGGGACTGCCGAAGGATGAATTCAAATTTAAAGGTCTATCCTCAAGAAGGATCGTGCTTCCCGGGTTCTAAGATTGTTTGCAAAGTTTCATTTCAATGCATGACACCAGGCTACAAATTCAACGATGAGGTATATTATTTGTTTTAAAATTTCAGCAAAAGCACAATCAAATAAAGCTTTAATGTAGGCATGAGTAAGAAGAACATGATCCATTATTTTAGTTTATGACCATTGTTGTTATGTTGATCTTTTTAATTGTTAATTTCTTACTTTATCCATCCTCACAGATCATTTGCAATTTTGAAAATTACAAGGCTTTACCATTGAGAGTGTATGTCGAATGTGTGAACACTCCAGAGCCTAATAAGTGGACGTTATTTACAACACCAGTCCGTCAAACCACATATGAAAACATCTCTGTGGAAAATCAGTATGTTTTCTTCAAATTATAAATGAATGCAATATAAACATTTAATCTTATCTAGATCAGTGGATACTATCATAGTTTACCCCGTTATATGTGGAGAATATTTTAGTGTTGACGAAGCAGTAATTATTCCTGGTAAATCTTCATCGTTCTGCACTGTGAAATATGAGCCTTTGACCATGACTTCTGACTTCATACCCTACCATGAAGTATGCCAGAAATATAATCTCACTTCCATTTATCGTTAAATTATTATTATTTTTTTTTTTTTCAGGGAAAACTGTACATACAGTTTCCAAATGGAACATGCATAGTCCATGGTTTAAAAGGAGAAGCTCTTGAACCAAACACAGAAAGTAGGACCACATGGTGTATTGACACAAAAACACAGGAAACAAAATACTTCCAAATAGTCAATTGGCTAAATGAACATCAACGGTTAGTAAATATATATATATAAACAGGACCATAGAAAACAAGCATATTTGGCATACATTTCCATTACTATTTATTCCTATTATCTACCGTACACACCTTTTTTGTCAATAATTTAATTTTCTAGCTTTTGCGAATTTTTTCAAATTTGTCTATTGATATACTGTGTCTAGTAAAGACTTTTGCATTTGCAACCTCAACAAAAAGAACTGTAATCAATTATATTGTTATATGTTATATGATATTATATTGTTTATTGCTATCATAGATTTAGTGTATCGGCACATGTAAAAGCTATTGACTGCCCTCCATATTCCTTCACTGGCTCTGCATACATCGACATCGCTGCAAATAGTTCAAGAATGTATCCTTTTACAGTGTATATATCTAAAGAGACTGAATTTGAATTTGAGGTGTGGAAATATATTCTGTTGAGATTTTAAATTTATCTGTATGTACGTAAACAAACAAGTGTCGATGTTTTAGCTTACTTTCACTAATCCCAAAACAAAAGAATTCATTTGGTTTACAACAATGGTGAAAGTTAGTACGAAAGGGCCATTGGGCACATATTATTTGACAAGCCAAGTACGAACGACTATCTTTCAAGAGCTGGAGCTTTTAAACCCAACTGATGAAACACAGAGTATTATATTAGATTGTCAAGAGTCCACTGATATTGCATTAGCAAATACTGAACTGGAGAAAAATGCCAGTGTAAGAAATACATTTAAAATACATATTCAATTTTTTTTAAATATATTTTAAGTAATAAATTGGGTTTTTCAGACTAAAATAATATTGCAATACAGTCCTTTGGTTGTATGTGAAAATAAGCAAGTGAATGTTCGGCTGAGAAACTCCAAACTTGGGGAGTTTTGGTATGTTTTCATCTTGTCATCTTTCCCAGCCAAACCACAACCATGCGTATTTTTCGAATCGCCAATTGGTACTGAACAAAAAAACCTCCTCTTCATAGAAAATGGAGCACGTTTTAAAAGCAAATTTAAAGTCAAGGTATATTTTAAATTAAATTTTTAATGGGATATTCAAGCTATTTTAGAGTTTCAATTTTATTTGGGCATTTTTGATTTAGATAAATGATAGTGATTTGAAAGCAAAAAAGCGATTTGAAGTCGATGCACTTTCTTCTTACAATCTAGAAGTTGCTTTCAAGCCAATAAACTTGGGCACAAAACAAGCAGAGATTCATGTTACATCTCCGGATGCCGGTGATTTTCTGTAAGTTCCTTGATGATTATTTCATTTGGAATGGCTTTTATTCAATTTGATATTTAATATTTAAGCTTTCCTGTTATGATGGTTGGTTTACCTGCAAAGCCATCAGGACCGTATGTCTTAAAAATGGGTGAAACGAGAATTATTAAGTTCCACAACCTTTTTAACATGAGATCTGAGTTTGCATGCTCATGTAACAATGACATATTTGACGTCAGTCCCAAAAAATTTGAACTCAGCCCAAAAAAGGTAAGATAATTAATTACAGCTAACTGGCAAACTGTTTATATTGCCGTGTATTTGTAGAAAATCGAATTAGAAGTGTTCATATCAGACAGCTGCCAACTTCCTGCCACAATCGATACTCCAATTGCTGGAAAACTTACTATTTGCTGGAAGGAAGATGAAAATGTCCGATGGGACTTTTACCTCAAGGGTCTGTTTAATGACACTTGTGATGTTAATGAAGGCAGATATGATAGATGCTCATTTTCGCATGTAAAACAATCCAAATAACATTTGCAGTTGTACATATTTTGTGGATATAAGGATGACTGCATGATTTTGTTTTGTTAAAGTTGTATATATATGCACTCTGGTTTGTATTGTTTACTGCTAACTTTCAATAATAAACATCTAATATAATTATTTTTTGTAATTTATTTATATTTGCTATGCCTATTCAAAAACAAGGGAACATTAATGAGATTTCAATAGTCAGTTCTACACAAAAACACAAATTGTCATTGGAACTGTCCTTTTCAACTACTGACTGGATACTATATATATCAATACTTCATGAATTTTGAATGAATGTCTAAATCGATTTTTGGGTAAAATGCTAAAATCAGCCTCTTTGGTGTCATGAGCTTAGTCCATAAGAACCTAAAACTCATAGATCAACTGGGAGGACATGGAGGGATGTGTCTTGAAAATGGATTAAGTCTACTTAAATTGCTCTCCTCATTCACTAACTAGATCTGACTTACACTTATTACTTATTCACAATCCATGCAATTTTTTTAACGGCCTTATGATCTTGCATATTACCTGAGGAGAAATCGAAAGATGCTCCATATGCATATTTTTTGAGGGGGAAGGGTGTGAAAAAGGTCAGGAGCAACCCACGACTGTGTCCCTTAGCCATCTTCCATTAATGGGTTTTATGTCCTTACTAAAAACAAATCATGAAGCCCAGATCATGATTTTATGCATATTTATCAGTCATAAAATGATTAGAAGTTATGGTTATTAGCTTATTGAACCTTTACTAAAAACCAATATTGAACAAGGCAGTATCAGTAATTTATTTACAAAACCAAGTAAATTAACTTGATTGAAAAATCAAATTTGGCATATAAACAATCAATAAAAGCTATGTATTAAATTATAACAAAAAACAGTAGCTAAAAGTTAAATAAATACAACAGATTTTTTTTAAAGTAGAGAAACATCAAAATAAAAGCAATTGCGTTTTTAGGGGTAAGACATGTAATTTGTTGTTTAGATGAGTGTTTGCCACGAAAACTGGGAAATTTTTACAACTTGGAACTAGAAAGAACATCTTCAAGTTCGCATTGCCAGCAGACTGTTACACACCATTCTCCTGCAGTTAACAGTATTTTGTATATAATATGGTAGTTGTATGACCATGTTGCTAAAGCCAAATATAATATAATTGTTGTTAAATGTTCTAATAGTTTTTAATATTTGTTAATTTTTATTTATTATTTTTTTATATATCAATAGAATTTTTCTATGGCTCAAAAGAAATAATTCAAATCAGTATGTAAATAGTATTGAAAATTAAGATTTTCTGATCCTAATTTTTATATTTATCAGTATCTGGCCTGAAGGTGGTTATACAATTAACAAAAGGTTGGCACAATGGGAGTTATTCTGATTCTGACCCAATACCTGATAATTGCACACATTTTGTATATTAGTTCAATAATTTTTTTTTCTTGGGTAAGAAAGAAAACAATTAGTACAGAATAAAGTAACTTGTGTCATTTTATTTTCAATAAATGTATAAGACAAAAGTGAGAATGCACAACACACATAATTGGCACAAAGAACAATAAAATACAAAAGCAATATTTTCCACACTTTGTAAGTATGAAAAAATATCATTTTTTTAAGTCAAAAAATCATATTCTTGATTTATTTAAATACTCTTGTTTTTTAAAACTATAATAATGATAAATTTAATAATTTATTGTAACAACACAAATAATTCATAAATATGTATATTTATATGAAGTGTACTAACAGTCAATAAACTTTTAATAAAGATAAACAATTAAAACAAGAATAATTTTATAAGGGCTATATTAAAGAAGGAAAAGTTAAAAGTAGTAATTAATAAGTTAATGTTGATCAATTAGAGGATGAAATATTTTTAGCCGATAAAACGCCCTTGCTGAATAAATTGAACAGAATTTTTAAAAAATCAGGCATACAACTTTCTATAAAGGGCTTGCTGATCTACAATAAATCAGTTACTACTAGTATTACAATTTTTGCATTATTTTCTTTAAGAATAGCTTTTGCATAAAAAAATTACCATCTATATAATTCAAAATTAACAAATAAACATAATAAAAGCATACCTTTCATGTAAACTTATGATGGTCAAAACAGACAAGGGATGATATATTTAAGAATAGTTTTTTGTAAAAGAATACTATTTGTATAATTCAAATGTGATAAAAGCTTATCTATCATGTAAGCTTATAATGGTTGACTGAATTTGATACAAAGATTTTGACCCTTTTTACCAATTTAAAAGATAAAAACATGCTTTTTTAAATTCTACAGTGGAGTTACAACTTTTTATTCTAGTTTAAATTAAATTGCAATAAAAGCTTATCTATCACGTAAGCTTATGATTGATGAAGGCAGATTACCATATAAAGGGATGGTATACACTGCTGTTTGTTCTAAAAGTCAATAACTGTAAAATGTGAAGGCGTGAACCGACTTTATTAAAACACCCTCTAAAATTAACCATAATTTACATAAATTATGAAAACTGTCTAATCACAGTAATGAAACACTTAAAAAAAACTAAAATTAAAGAATACATTAATTTTTATCACTTACTCGCAATTTTTAGGTTTGCTTTAAAAGAACATGAAATACAATTTACAAAGAATAGAAAAATGACAAATGCAAGAAAGACATTGAGGATAAATACTAAGCATTGACTACAACAGGTACGAGTCTTACTTGAAAGCCATGGATACAAAATATTGACATATCGAAATAATTTATCCAATTTTGAATAAAAAATTTCTATCTTAGTCAGTATTTAATCAACACTTGAGAAATAATTGAAAAAGTGTGTTACTTGTCAACTACTTTTTACAGTACTTGTACACCTAAATTACCATTTGGGAAACATGGTATTCTGGCATCAAAATATACTCTGGTCTGTAAGTGTACACTTATTTCAATTAGGCCATTAAGAATAAATACATTTATTACTTTTAAACTATAAAAACAATAATTTTTGTTTGAATTTTCTGTTCTAATAATCTACTTTTGTCAAATTGGTTCCAAGCAACCTGTGACATTAAAAAAAAATTTCAGATCTAATATTGGTTCAACAATTTAAGAAGGCGAGTTAATATTTACATTAAATTTGATTACTCACAAAGATTTTGACCCTTTTTACCAATTTAAAAGACAAAAACATGCTATTTTTTTTAATTCTACAGTGGAGTTACAACCTTTTATTCTAGTTTAAATTACATTGGAATATACTCAGTGACCATACAATACCACCCATCTTTGCATGCATATATTGAAAACACTAAGAAGGCATAAATTTTTAATTTACAAACTCTTAATATCTTTCACTTTGAATAAAACTAGTGACATAATTTTCTAAATATGTTCAACTCAAGTAAAACAACTTGTTTGTTTCTATTCAGGAGAATACAAATTATTTAAAAAAGGTTTTCAATTAGATTTAAAATACTTATTAAGAACAGTGGGACTGATTTTAATTCTTTCGGGTGAGGTCACTTTTCTAAAAGAAAAAAGGAAAAATTTTTTAATCAATTTTACGCTGTATTTAATTAAATAGCTAGGCAATAGAAATGAAACCAATTAAATTATATAATTTAAATTTAAACACATTAACTATAGAGATAAAATATTTAAAATTTACGAACTAAATATGTCAAAAATTGTTATTAAGCTTTTGATATGTTTCATTTTAGTGATTAGTGATACACAAATAAAGAAATTGAGCCCATTATATATCTCTGCTTTAATTATGATTGTTTAAACAGTTCATTTATTTAATTTGTTGTTTAAATGAATTATTTTCAACAAAATTCTTACAGTTATGATTTTTTAAGGAAAATTAATTAATTTTTTCATGAATGTATTGTTCTAAAGATTTAATTTACAATGAAACTATTGTTTATCTATTATCCAATAATAAATGGTTATAACAATTTAGTTCAACTTTCTCTCTTCTATATATTTATTTAAAAACACACAAATTCTTTGTGGTATGACTAAAACTCTAGAATAACTTACAAACTAACCTATATCTATTTGATAAATATCTCAGCGGATTATAACAATTGCTACAGAAACAAACTTCAATACCACCAATGGATGCAACTGGGACTCGTAATTGACCATTGGTAGGATTTAAATTTTTTTTCTTTTTTACTATCATGTCTGCTCTATAAATTCAATTGGATATTGACATAAAAATCTACTTAGACTACCACTAGTCATTTAGAAGGATATAAACATTGTTTATTCTTGCAAATACACATTTGAGTTTTGTTTAAAAAAAAATTGAACAGAATTCAGAAATCGATTAAGAAAAGGATGGCATCAAACTCGTCAATCTGAATCGCTTTAGTTTTCTGTTCAATTTTGCACTATTTTAAAAATAATCAATTTTCTGTGTGTTTCAACAATATTTTTTTTTTCAAATTGATAAGCATAGAAAATGAATTGCTTAAACAATCATTTTATTTATTTATTTTATCAAGATCAGATTTTCAAAAGTTGAACTGTCTTAATGGGCTCAAGTGATTGTCAACAGCAGAAGATGAGCTTTGACTGGTTACAACTACTATAAGCTGACTTTTGTCTGAGTAAATACACCACATGTTACCCGTTTTCTAAATAAAAGACTTTTATAGGATGCTAACATTATTAGATATTAATCATTCTAATGTGAATAAAAATGACCATAAACAAGAAATTGAAAGTTTATAGATATTTTTATTTTATATCGATTAGACATTATTTCAGTCGAAGTTAAATAGATCCTAATAAAATATACAATACTTAAGATTGTATTATTTGAGAAATATAGAAATGTATACTTAATTTATATATAATATATATATTAATTTATGTTTGTCATATATATTTATTTACATTTATTATCACTAATAATCAACCATTAAATAACAGAATTTATAACAATTTCACAAATTTTTATTGGTAATCCTTTAAAGCAATAAAATATTGTATTGCACTTAGATAAATTATTTCATTTTTTCTTGTTACTTTTTTTCATTTATTTACTTTTTTTTTAAAGAAGAGATAAAATACAGTGATGCCTAAAACTTCTAAAAAATATGAATTGTATTAAAAGATATATTAAGTTTTACTAACAAGGGCCTAACAGTTTTAAAAATATAAAATAAGTGAAAAGTTTTGTCTTTTTTTTCTTCTTCAATAAGATGAAATTGAAAGAAAAATTACACCTGAATGTTACATTTAGAGAAACAAATCTACATTACCCTCAGCATTGCATATCTAAATGACTCATGCTCTGTTTACATTTCTCACTGATTGTAATCACAACTGTGTCATCACCCCATCTCTTTCCTACATTTCTTTTTCCATTATACCTGAAAAATGTGAAAATACAGTTGGTTTCTGATGAATGAGGAATGTGGGAAGACATGGGAGACAAAATCCTGTTATTTAGACATGTTGGATGAATTCGGGATTGAGATAAGAGAAGCCCATGAACTCGGTCTGGTCCAAATTCATCATAAAAAGCTTGTCAGTTGGTGTCAGATCTGTCTTCTCAGAAGTGAACTGTTTGTCGAAATTGCTCACATCCTTTCGGTGTTTCTGGGATAAAACAAAATGTTAGCAATAGTTTGAAAATTTGTTTGCACAAAAAGTGTATTACAATTTTCGGCTTAAATGGAGGCTGAACTTCTCTTGCTTCGATCCTTTCCCAGTCTATTCTTCTGAAAAAGGAGTGACCACGGACATCTTCTTCGCCCCTTAGCCCACACCCGAGTCGTTTGCTAGGATTTTTTGTTAAAAACTGTAATCAAATAATAACCAAACTATAGTTATTGCAAATGACGTTTATTCTCATCTTTTTACCCCCTTGCAAGCTTCCTTAGCTTCTTTGGACAAGCCTTTAGGGTAGCTAACACTATGATCTGTAATGGCAGCAAAAAGTTCCTCTTCATCTTCACCATCAAAGGGCGGTTGCCCAACCAACATTTCATACAGCAGGACACCATATGCCCACCAGTCTACTGATTTACCATATGGCTGATAAAGAATTATCTAAAACAACAATAATCAGTTAATAAATTGTTAAATCATAGGTATATAATCATTATAGGTAAAAATTAAAGAGAGAGGACGGGGTATAGATGATAATGATGATGATGATGTTTTTTAACATTTCATAGCACTAAAACTAACTTCAGGGGCAATGTAATCTGGCGTGCCACAGAAAGTTTTGGTTGTCTTGTCGCCAGTAATGCCTTCTTTGCACATGCCAAAATCTGCTATCTTAATATGTCCGTCCTGGTCCAGAAGGACATTGTCCAACTTGAGATCTCTGTATATAATACCTCTCACATGAAGGTAAAACAGTCCAATGGCAATTTCTGCTGAATAAAATCTGAAAAAAATGCAATGGATTATGAAAATCATGTTTTCATAACATTCCAAGTTCATAAACTATTTTTGGCCATAATCTATTATTACAGTTATTTTTGTAAAATCTATCAAGGATAATGTACAAACTATTATTAAAATGTCAATTTACTAGAACATTCCAATAAAATTCCATGAAACGATTATGATTTAAAAAAATGTTTTATAGTCTCAATTGAAAAATAGCATGATCACAACAGATCTTTGGATGCGGTTACTAAAAACCTAATTTAAATTTTAGAAAAAGCTTTTTAACGATAATTGTCTATTTAGAAGAAACGCTAAATAATGTTTTCAATGTAATAAGCCTTACACTGCAACTGGTTCCTTGAATTTTCCACACTGCTGAATTTGAAACATCAGATCTCCTCCATTAACATATTCCATAACAAAATAAAGCCGATCCTAGAAACCCAGAAAGTTAAGACAATTTTGATTTTTCATTACATTTTATAAATTCACCATTGTTTGAAAACAGGAATGTAATTGAACTAAAAACGGTGGCTTTTGTGAAAGTGCTAGAACACGTTTTTCAACCATTGTGCACTCCACATCATCGTCTTGTATGATTATGTCTTTTTTTAGAATTTTTATCGCATAAAGCTCATCAGTTCCTTTTCGCTCTGCTAACATGACCTTCAAATAAAACATTCATATAAAACCTAAATTTTTCTTGTGAATAATCTGCATTACCTTGCCGAAACTTCCTTTTCCTAGTACCATCAAAAAGTTGAAGTCTGATGCTCGGATAACATCTTTTTTATTCATGTTGTGAGGAACATCTTTGTCTGTCATAACAGGAGCTTTTTTTGTGAGTGAAGTCTTCTAGAACAATTCCCTCATTATGAAAACCAGATTCAACAATTTTCAAGTCTAATCTTTACGTAATATTTTCAGTTTTCATATAACAAAACAAAATATTTTATTCTGCTAATCTACAGATTGCTAAATTAGTAAATAATAAATAAATTAAACACCTTTTTACTTTTGAATAATGGTTACTGTTTTTATTTAGTTTTTTTTTTATTATTATTAAAATGTAGAGGTGAAAGTTAAATTGTATTCATTCTTCAAGTAACTTAACTGAGAACTTTAAGGAACTTTGAAAAACAAAACAATTAAAACATATTCAGTTTTTAGAGTTGCCAGGGACACCCGCCCATTACTTGAGAAAATGATTTTTTTTTAAAATATATTACTCAAGATGTGATCATATTATTTTTTTTTAAGTATTAGCTTTAATATCTTAAATGATTAATGAAAAATTTATTAAACAATAAATGTTTTAAAAAGTGATTCATCAAAATACGTACAAAAGATTGTTCACAATGTACAGATAATTTGATAGAAGCGTACCATTTTCAACATGAAAATTTATGGCAAAACGATATTTTGAAATAAATAGAAAATAGAAACCTTTTTAACCAAACGAAATGGGATGAGCCTTTTTGGATAACACAATTTTTTGGATAATCCATGCAGGCTTTTGGCCTATGGTAAAGGTATAAAAAACATAGTTTCCAATTAAAATCCAACGATCTAAGTATTTTTTGTAAAAATATAAAGTACAGTATACTTCTAGTTATATATATAGTTATATATATACAACCAAAGAATAGAAACTTCATTGATTTTTTCATGATTCATACCTTCATTGTCTTGTGGTTCGGCAGTTTACAATTATTCATGAAGTTTAGATTTAAATTTTACCCACTTCTGATATCCCAACATTATAATTAGCGGCCACTATTTGCAATGACACACCATCCTCACATACCATTTTTTAGTAAATAATGAATGAATAATGAACTGAAATTGTTTTCGTTAACCCAGGTTTTGGTTAAGCAGCATTTGGTTAAAAAGGGGTCTACTTTACAAGGCATGTAAAATCAATGAATTTATTGTTCTTTATCATAGGAGTAAATAACTTCACATGAATTTTTTCAATTTGCACGAAAGGGCAACTTTGAATAAAGGATTTGTAGGAATTTTCTGGTGAATCATCAAATCATTTGTACATATGGAAACAACTTTAATTGAGATAGTTTTGCTTAAAAATATGCTAAACACGTAACTAATCCAAAATTGGCATGCTCATCTCTACTGAAGGACATTTAACAAGTACTCATTTGGACAGACAGATTAAGTCGATGAAAATGGACTAAAGCCTTTCAAATCACATTTTTCATTCAGATAAATGTGCTTTAATTTACAGTTATGCCATATTTATCTATGAGAAAGGCCTTTAGTAATTAATCATTGTTTTAAATCACCATCTTAAATTAAATTCATCTTCATCAAAATTCAAATCGACAATAATAAAATATAATTAATTTGTTTAAAGAGGGTACAAATAAAAATGTTTCTGCGCTTTATTAACAATCAGTCTTTGAAAATTTCATGTCAAGAAAGACACTCAGTTATATTGAAAGTGATGTTAAGAGGATGGCTTTGTACGTATTATACACAATGTGACAGTTCATTAGGTGTAGCCAACCAAGTGCACTAAGTCCTTAACTGATCGTATAAGCAATAAATCCATCTTCCTATAAGTTACATGTTGCCTCAAAAGAGTAGTTTTCCTAAACCTATATTCATGCTAACTCAAGTTTATTAAGTAAAAATATTTATTGGATTAAACAATACAGTTAATGATATAAATAACAATCATATGTTTTAATTAATTTCTATTTAAATACTGCTTTATTCAACCAATCTGAGATTTTACATATATATAAATTTTCATGCTGAATAAAAAAGTTCCTATAAATAGATCCTCAAATGAAGCTTTCTATGAGAAAAAACCGCAAAAACCTCAATTGTTATTTCATCAGAAAGTTATTACTTATTATTGCAACAGTAAATTTTGGGCGCAACTGTAACTGTTATTTAGTTTTTTAATATTTAAGTTGATATAGTTTTGGAAACCCCAGCTTCCTTAAACACTTCTGAAAAAATTATCTTAAAAATAACAATAACATAGAACGATGACAAGCTAACAACAGACTCCTGAATAAACTCATGCACATGCACTACTGACAGAACAGAATTTTTTAAAATTCAATAATTAAAAACAAAAAGGAAACCCACCGAATGGCGCATCTGACTTTTAGGTCCCTGTGTCAACACACATATGCATTACAAAAAGTAAAAATCAACATTTGTCATTGTTTGGTCTTAAATACAACTACACTTTCAAAGAAATACATACAAAACACATATATCCATACGGTTAATTTGTACTTTCACCTGGGTTCTCAAAAGGATATATTTCACATCTATTGTATGTAATATCCACTATCAGCAGCGTATAATGCTTTATGAGCGACCATTTTATAATGTTTAGTAATCTTCTTGGGAAGCAATAATGTTATTTTTGTTGATAAGGGACAGGATTGGAATACAGTTATTTCAATGAACAAATAATTGTTAATTTTATAGTTTTGACATCCACTATGTTTATAAATCTTTATTCTACTCTGTCGTTTAACTGTTTTATGTTTCTTTATTATCAAACACACACCCATTATGTTTTGTTTTTCAAAACATATTAACTGACATAACTGTAAACCAACAGGCAAGCTTTGATATTAAATTTAGATGTCAACACAGTACATGCAACAAAGTAATTTCATAAAACATTTATATTACCTTCTTAATAGGGGACTCCTATTATGAACAGATAAAATTTGTTATAACAGATAAAAACTGTGGATATCTAACTTAATACAACTAAAATTTTATACTATACATTTTGATAATCGGGATTATTTAAATGCATGACCTGAGGAAGGAGGAATTGAGTAATGGAAAAACGTTTTACTTCATTACAACTAGGGCAGACTGCTTAATGGCAAACAGTAAATTATAGAACATTATATTGCAAGTGCTTAGTTTTAAAAATTATTTCAAGGTGGTTTTTGTACATAACATAAACACCAAAAATAACAAGCTGTTTAAAGTGTTCCATAGTTTAAAAAAAAGACTATTTCCATCTGGAATATTAATTATTCAAATAGTTCATACAAAAAAAGTAAAATGCCACAAAATAATTTAAATGAAAAACATCATTAATGATTCTAAGTTCAGGATCCTTTTCATGACAAAAACCCTCTTTCAAAGTACAGAATTGAAATCAGCAATAAACCAAAATTAACCTTCTGGTCAATAAGATTTATAATTGCAACATTTAGGTTCATCACCACGCAGAGAACATGGAGAAATCTCACAATTTAAAATTAATCAGTAAGGAGAATTAATCAGGATTGCTTAAAGTGAAGATACACTACAGCATATAAGATGAGAGACGCAGAGAAACATCAAAACATTTCACAGACGAAAAACAACTAATGAAAACATTAACATCCTGCATAAATTTCCTAAATACATTCTATGGACATGATATGTCAACAATCCTCAATTTTCAGAACTTTTGAAAGATGGTAATCAATTTGAGGAGGTGGGGGAAAATGGATGAATATTTTGTCTATGTCGTTAAAACCAGCAGGCATTAGCCTATGACATATTGGTTAAGTTCCCCACAAAATGGCTCATCGAGACTAAGATCTAACTTTGCACTGCCGATATTATGGTAAATGACAATTCCATACGTGATTCAATCAATTAATGTTGAGAGCTCTGCTGTTTTGGAAACTAAGAAACACAAATTCCTTATACTTGATATGTCTGAGTCAAATAAACAAGAGACTCCTATCACTTAAATATTGATTGAATTATAATTAATTTGACTAACAACTAGACAATTAATAAAAAAATATATAATATGCTAAAAATTGAATTTTTCAGAAAATGCCTTTTTGAACTTATGGAACGCTTTAATTCATCTTGTGCTGTGAAATGAGCTTCTATCTTTTAAATTTAAAAAGGCTAACAACATTCTAAAAATTAATATAACAACATAATAATAAAATTATGGATTTGGAGTAAAAGCTAAGTAATAAAAAAAACCAAAAGTGTTGATAAGAGGAAAATTATTATTATACTAACAGTAAAACATATTTTGCTATATGTAAATAAAAAATGTTAATAATATATATGGTAAAAATATATAAAACTTACTCTCATCTGAGATTTCAGCTGTGCAAGGTCTGCACCTTCCTCAGGCACGGGGACGTTGTAGAATTCACCCTCTTCTTGTGTCAAGAGTTTAAACCAACCTTCGACAGGGGCCTTGATTAGTTCAGAAATGCCAAAGGACAGAGAGCCCATGAAGTCATTTCTAGATGTTCTATCCCAATCCCAAACCTCGATGAGAAGCCTCCTGTCTTTGTCCTCAGGCTTCAATTCGCTGTCAAAATTACAGTCATTAGGTAAAAATTTTAAACTGGTCACACAATCACATTGCCAATTTGTTACTATTATTTTACCTTGTCTTACAAAGGTTCATAACTCACAACTAATGATTATGGAACAAATTAATTTCTTAAATGGTTTCATGACAACTCACAAACATCCATTTCAACAACTTCTTTCAAAGAAAGTTAATCTTAGAAACTTATTATAAATTACACCAAACACAATTCTTTATTATTTATATATACATCTAACAAAAGTAAATTGAAAATATGTTTTCAAATGTATGGCATTATTTTGTACGATAAATACATAAACATTTCAAACAAAACAATTAATTAAGGTTTTTAGTGGAGATGAAAAAAAGCTAATGGCACAAGAGGGATTCGAACCCACGACCTTCGGCTAGATACACCGCTGCTCTACCACCTGAGCTATCGTGACCTCGATCCACTCGGACATCAACTCCCCATCTCAACCCCACCTTATGAGTTTTCCCTCCTTTTTTTTTTCATCTCCCCTAAAAACCTTAATTAATTGTTATGTATTAATTGGTCAAGCGGACCACGAAAGTAGTGAATTAATTTCAAACAAAGTTAAAACAGAAACTTAACTTGTCCATTAATATAAAATGGTTTGATGTAATAGGATTAAAACTTACAAGGTGAGAGTTTCATTCCAGACAGGGTTGAGTGAAGATCGAATTGTTTTTGTTTTTTTCTTGACGTTGTCTGCGTCTGGAATGAGCTTAAGTTTCACGTAGGGATCCGAGAGCCCGTTCGGGTCCATTGGAATTAGGTTTTTACCTTGACGAACTAAAAAAGAAAATTTGATTTATACATTTTGTCCAATGCATTTCAACTATATGAAAAATGTGCTAGCATTGTTTATCATAGTCAATTTCTGGATAGTGCTGAATTAATGTTTGTTTTCATTTATTCATCCTAAATACAAATATGAAAAATGAAAGTTCCACAACTTAGAAAAATCAAAAATAGCTTTAAAATTAGCCAGGGATTTTTTAATCCAATATGTACATTGCTTTTATAAGAAATAGCAAAATTATGAAAATATGTGATCACATAGAAAAACCCTATCCTGGAGCTAAAACTGTAATAGAGTCTTCTGTAATTTTTTTTTATCTTAAAAACAAAAAACCCACATTTGATAATAAATTAAGGTTTTAGTGTTTGCACTTACCTTCGATGCTAAGTTTGTTGCTCACACAGGTGATTTTGAGTTCCATCCTCCCTCTCCTTTCAGTGTGGTCACAGCCGCATAAGTTGGGTACACTTTCTTTGCACCGTTTGTGCACATTCATGTCACATGCTGCAAATTTAAAAATTAAACATGTTGTAGTTGTATGTCGCAAAGTCGCATCCTTAAGAGGCTAATGTACTTCATTTTTGTTTTCGAGTCTTATGCATACTCGGTAAATCAACGTATGAAACTAATATAATACGTGTAAGTTGTGGTCGAAGTGGTAGTAGGTCGAAAAAGATAGATAGATAGGAAATATTGACATACAGTTAATTCAAATTTTACTAAGTAGAAAATAAAAAATACCAATTCAAGATATAATAATTAAAGAAGGAAAATCTTGCAACATTCCACAAATAAAAACAAAAATCCTGGCAAGAGATAAAAAAAGCAGAAAGTAGTTTACTTACCCTAATAAGCAAATATTTATATAAAAAATGATATGCTCATTCATAAGTTCAAGGCTTTTAATATTACATAGTATAAAGAAAAAGTGTGTAAATGCATAACAGCCCATGCACATGTTAGAGAAGTAGTTTCTTATTAAAATTTAAATGGGTCATTTTAATTGTTCTTTCAATTAACAGGAACAAAGCGTAAAAGATTATCTGTGTTTTGATAGAAGTAAGTAGAAATAAATTAGAACATAACGGGAATAGGATCTAGCAACTTACGTTGTGTATATCGCCTTCGTCAATGCCTCATTTTTACTTGTTAGTCCCCAAAAATGGTACTGATTGCACAAGTTAAGCTTCGACCTATTTTCCCGACGACCCATAAATGTAATGTTTAATGTTTCATCTTGGACAGTTTTTAATTTTTGTAAGAGAAGTTTTATTCATAAATATTTGTTTGGTTCCTTTAACAGCATGATGTCATTTAAATTATATCTATTAAATTAATAAACCGGAAATTTGTAAAAAATTGTACAGGGAAAAAATGCAAGTGTTTTAAGGCATAAATAAAACTTTCACAGAACTGTTTACATATTACATTGATTTAAACCATCCTGTTACAAAGTATTCCTAGAATATATTTGTCCTGGACTTGATTAATAAAAATGTTTCATAAAATAAATCATAGAAAGTTTTTATTTCTCCATCTTGTGATTCTTTCTAATGTTCCACTGATTGCAAGCTATTCAAGTACTAGATTCACTCTAATTTAACAGTACATTTCAATTCTAAATATTATTTCCTCAATTTAATTTTTGCTTAGAAGGTTGGATAATATATATTTTAGATATATATTGTTGATTTAATCAAGTGAATTTTCCGAGCTGTAAGCAAAATATGCAGAAAATAGTGAATCTGCTTGGGATAAAAGCCACTCAATTCTCTTTGAAATTCCTCAGATAAAGAGAGAGGTGGCCGAGAGTGTATGTCATTCTGTGTATTATATTCATAACAAAAGTCTTTTAAATCAGGGCACTTTGTTTACCCAACTTTATGCCGTATCATTGTGACTTTCACCAAAGATTTTTCAACAAGAAATCATTAAAAATCTGGTCCCTGCAACTTTTAACAGGAACGTTCAAGTGGTGAATGTATTTTGCTATTTTCCTGTTGTCTTTCACTTTCCTTTTTTTTTTCCTTTTTCATAAAACTTTCTATTAAAGTTTAAAAATCAATAACCAGTAGCTTAAGTAGCTCCCTGACAATGTTTCTATTGTGATTTTATCAAAACTTCATAACGAGTGCTATCATCAAAAAGGAAATTGTTAAAGGCATTTTAGCACAAAACAACCTAATTTTGGTCATAATTTTTTGATCTGTCATTAATAGTACATGTACAAGTACAACAGTACATGTGGTGATACAGTGAACTTATTTTACATGATAAACGTCACTTCATAAAAAGAAGAAACAACGAATCATAAAAAGGATATTTCATGGTTTTAATTTGAAAGTTATGATTGTAGAAGTGTAAAGAGTGATACCAGACAACTTCTCCTGCAAGTGACTCATACTACATGCAATCAACAATACAAGAAAAAAATTAATATAATTATTGTCGTAAATCACAAATAAAAGTTTTAAAAAATTATAAAAACATTAAGACAGCAATTTTTTATGGTCTTACTAAACCCGCAATGAATGTTGGAGTTGAAGGTTTAGCATAACCTGACCCCTTTTATTTTTAACTGATAGATTATAAAAAAGTTCTTTTTTTTCCAATCCATCACCAGATTAAAAAAATGTAAAAATCAACCTTTTTTGCAATTTTCTCAAGTAGGTTAAAATCCCAAAGCTGAAAACTACTTTGTATTTATGAAAAGTTGTTAGTAAAAAGAATTGTTATAGCGTTAACAACACCACCTGCACTTATCCAGTAAAAACCTGATTTTGTTTTTGATATCACGTATTATCGTAAATTATATATTATGAAAATCGATAGTTTTGAGCCATCGTTTGGTCTAATGGAACTAGTCCATTAATATGTATGAGAGCGGAAATAATATTATTCATTTTAGGATTAGGACCCCCATTTTAATTTTCTTTACTTTTCATATATACTTGATTGATTTTGTTCTTCATCCCACTTTTCAAAAAAAGTGTTGATTAGTAGTCAGACATGACATGACATCAGCTGTTAAAGTAACTTTTTTTTAACTAATGCGACAATTGGAAATCCAGTTTCTTGGATCTTGGCTGTATCTCGGAAATAATACAAATGCAAGTGGTTTAAAGCTAACTGCTAAATATATAGATACATGTCATTTTTAAGACTCGAAAAAACAAAACGCGCCCGATTTGCGGGCCCAATGCAATGGCCGTTAGAAGGCCAGCGGTAATACATTTATCATGCTTCTCCCTCAAACAATTTTAAAAAAAATTAAAACAGTTGAGTTTAGCTCTAATATAAAGCTCAGAGCCTATAAAAACGTAGTATTTATAAAAAGTATTACACCTACGACTAATGCGTTTATCGGTCCGTGATTATAGAACTATTTCGGTTTTACAACCAGTAAGAAAACATGCTAAAAACTTAAATGCAGTATGTACAATGCTTTTAAATATTTTTTTCAAATGGGTTGTACATTGGCTTGTTTATGGAAATGAAATTGAGAAATATAACAAAAGTTAAGATGGTAATTTAAATTAAACGTGATTCATACTTGTGCCAAAATGTTTTTTTCTTTTTCTTTTTAACGACTTTACGGAAATGAAAAAATATCTCGAACATCCCGTTGGTTGGAAAGTAAGAATGAGCTTGGATTTATTAATAAGAAAATGTAAAGTTTGGTCTGTACTTTCAAGATTATTGTAGTGCTTATATTTAAAGTTATTAAACATAAAGTAGTTAAACATTGCGGCATCTTACTCGTCCTCATATGCTTCAGTTACGTAAAAGTAATGTTACAAAAAAACTGAAGAGGTCACATTTAGAAATAAAAATATTGGGTTGATTATAAAATAACGCCGGTGTTTAGCTGAAACTGTAATTCCTTGTTTAAGAACATGCCCATGTTATGCGACAATAGTAACAATATTTTCTTATCGCATTTTAAACAATTTATTTGTACTGATATCATAATAAGTTCCTAGGGCTTTGATCTATAAACTCGTGCATACGTTAATTCCCTCGTTGATCCAACTGTTTATCGAGTCGATAATTTTGGCTTTGACCAAAACATCAGAAAGATTACGTAGCACGATTTATCCGTTTTAACAATGAAAAATGATTGTTATGGAAGATTTACGACTCCAATTTTCTATTTGACGACGCAGGCCGCTTTTTTTTCTTTTTCTTCTTCGGTAATATAATTCAATCGGTCCTCTCTAAACAATATGGAGTGGAATTGACCGATTCACAGGAAGCTAAATATAAAAGTTCCTACCAATCAACAATCCTACCTTTTGAACGGACATAAGGGGACGCTCTTCAGCCACTTCCCATCCCATTCTATGATTAATATGTGACTCATAGTCTTTACAAGAAGTAAAAGGAACTTGATTTATCTGGCGAATCGTACTGTGAGATTTTGTTCTTGAGACACTGTTTTATCCATCCCACTTAGAATAGACGATCATCTCGTCGCTTTGAACAAAGTCTATTAAAATTTTGCCGCTTAACAAATGAGGCATCCAAATGACTCATAGCACAAATTGTGTAACAGGAAAACTTCAGCTTTCTACATCTGCAGTATTGCTACTTATACTTCTTAAAGATTTAGCACTAAGGCTTTTATTCCAACCTCTAATTAAAATATAGTCGCTGATCGCTAGTTCTTAACCTCCCTAAATTAAATTGCAAGTTTTTACTCACAAGTTTAAACTTTTATTCAAATTGTTTTTACTTTTTATTTTTCCTAAATCTGTGTAAAAAAACACTCAAGACTTACAATCTCTTATGCTTGGTTTAGCTATCATCACCTATGTCCGGTTCTCGATAATAACGGAGTTGCCTGACAATTTCAGGGTACGATCAATTTTAGTTTTTCTTTCTACGTACAATTTAAACCTATTTTGTAAAACTTTTATCGCCTTTATTTATTAAGACTTTATATTTACTCCCAATAATAGTTTTTATTTTATTAAAACAATTGAAATGATCGCTTACGCCATGCAAATAATTTTATTCTTAAAACACGTCTTGCCTTTAGACATCCGCCCACCACCAGTGCAGATTTCCCTTCCAGGCTGTTTAGCTTTTCCATCTTTTCCAAAAATAGAACGTCCCAACAGGTAATAGAGACATCAGTTTGTTTCATTTTATAAGATATAAAAATCAAGACGTTGTAACTGAATATAATGACTGAGAATTTATGGAAGGTAACCATTTTTAAAGAAAACAACGGCATTATTTTCTGAACAACCCATATTAGTCCGTAGATTAGCAGTGATTAATTTAAGAGCAAAGATTATATTTCAAAAACCTTGTTCTACATTGAAGTGGTGTATCTTTCGTTTCAATATCAGCCGGGTAATTTAATATGTCTGAAACTCTTTTATGTGATGCTGGCACAATTTATTCTCTAATTTATCACATATTTATAGATGGGTTTATAAAATATAAAATTCTAAGCTCGATTTATAAGCCGAATGGGAAAAACTGCCTCCGTTTGCGCTTGGATATAAAAACTGCTAGGTTATCATAGCCTAATTTTGGATTTCTTCAATAGCATAATATAGACGGTCCAACAAACAGCCAATGTAACCACATTTATTATTTTCAGACTTTATCTTCTGTATCAATCTGAACCCCCAGCTTTTTAATTCATGCTATTTAAAATTTAAACAACTAGATTGGCAGTCCTAAATAAAATTATAAATTGCTTTTTAACTTTTACTCGCACATGCGATAAATCAAATAGCCATGAGATGAAAGGGTGTATTGCAATTTAACTAGAGTATTTTTTTGTCAGTCCTCTTCGTTAAATTGATTGCATCGAATGTCGAATCTACAACTCAAATTAATCAAATTATTTGCAATAGAAGGATCGAAAAAGGTAGAAAATTTAAAAAAAAACCAGAAGTATTTAAATCTAATCGGAAAATTTTTTAACTTTTTATTAAATGCTGCAAGAAACAAACGTGATCAAAATTTTACACCCGCCCGCTGTGAAGTTATAAGATCAGATGTTCCTGTAAAGAGTGGAGTCAGTCCTGCTTCCTCGTCCTCTGCATTATTACACAGACTTAATTCTTAACACCAACGAGAAACGCAAATTTTAAAATGAGTCGTATGTCGAAGCGTACAATTCCATCTTGCTCTTTGTTAAATTGTCATGCAATTGTAATAAAGGTTAAATCGATTCGTTTATGGTTGAAGGAAGGCGAGGACGACCTTCTAAAGAGTCTAGCCTTAAAAATCACTTTGGTCCAATCGTTTAAAAAACAAAACAATAAAAGTAGTCGATCGAATGTAATGAGAGTGAATGATCGCGATCCATTTTAACATAGAGAAACATTTGTTGTCAATTACAATTGTATAAGTAATACAATTTTATGCATATCTCAAATCATCTCAAGCTATTTGACATATCAAAAAAGACCTCACATCTACATCTTTATAGTAACTGAAAAATTCTATTTGTCAAAATATGTCAGCACTTAATAGAATTAGCAATTAAAAACAAACAATGTGCATTGGGCCCTTGGTTTGGTGTTATTATTTTTTGGGAATACTTTCAGTTCGCGCGGTATTTCAGTTTGTATCTTTGTATTTTGTTACCTGAACATTTCAATCCCTGCGATGTGAGCCCGTGGAGCATTGATCCGCAGTGGTCGCAGAACGTGGGCGCCAAGTATGTGTACATCTCGAACTTATGTTTGGAGATCTCGGCCTACGGTCAGCGGACTTGCCGTGAGAGCTGTTCTTTTCTTTTTGGGTTTGGGAAATGTGGGACCGAACCCGACCTCCGACAATCTTGTTGAATTTTTCTGTCTTCTGAGGGTCGGATTCGATCTGCTTTAGGGGTCAAAGAGTGAGACAATGCAGAGATGACTTTCGCTTTTGGCAAGCCACCTTCGCACAAGTGCTCAAACAAAACAAATAAAGAAATTAAATCAAACAGTATGCTATCTACTTCACGCGCACACACCAAATCAAAATTAAATTGAAAAATCAAACATATTCGCATTAGCAATTTTATTCTGTACTATTTCTAACAGAAACGAACCCTCCATTGTTTCGGAATGTTTTTTCTTCCTCCCTGTATTTCAGAATTTACATTTCAACTGCAAACATCACTTGATCGAATAACCGAATGAACTTTTAGAATGCAGCTTAAACGTGCTTACGATCTGAAAATTAACAATAAATGCGGCAAAACGATTCAAAACGTCGGAATTTATATGCCTAATTGGCGGATGCTAAGTACCGGAATATCAAAAGTTCGACATCCGTGATCAGGGTCTTTAACCAGGGTGTGCAAATTAAATAATTTCCCTTTATGTGCTAGGATAAACGTTACACAAAATTACATCAATTAATTATTTTTCAAAGAAAGAGAAGAAAAATGGAGAGTCGAATAGAACGCATGGTGGGATGAATTTATTTTGTTTTTATTACGATTAAATGAGAGGTGTGATAAGTGCATTGTTTTGATGTAATAACCAACTTGACAGCATAGCAGACAAGTAAACAAACAATAACCGGTTTTAATTATACAAAGCCTGGTAAAATCAATAAGAGCTCTTGACTCTACAAGAGAAATTATAAACAGTCCAACATTTTAATTTAATTAATTCTAGCGTTATATTTTGTCTGGTGTTTTACGGAGCTTCTACTTCTATACTTTGCTTTCATTCCTAATCACAAATTATATGTAATAGAAAATAGTCTCATCCGATTAGCTTTCCCAAACCATTTGTGTTCTGTACCATTGTCAGTATCATTTTTCATTCCTAACTCGTGAATTACATGTGGAGAAAAAAATTGAAACCAGTTCCGAGTATGTTGGGTTCGTTTCTGTGGGTTATTGTACTCCCGTTTTACTCAGCTACCTGCTAATGACAGAACAAAACTATCAGACACTCATGAGAAAAATGCTAATTAAAAAATAAACCAAAAACCCATTCCCGTCGCATTGCGGGCGGTTCGCAAGTAAAGAAACACACAAACAACGTATAAATGGTAACAACACACAAATTCATCATAAGTGTTACTTAAAAATCGACAAAAGAGGACATTACAAGTGGCGCAATTTTGGCGGTTTTTATTAATTGCTGTTTGGTCGGCACCATGCCTCTCAATAGCCGACAGAACACACAGACTTGTAAAATCAATAATTTTATTCCATAATTAACGTATTATGTATATATAAAATTACAAAGATAACACAACACACATAGAAGAAGTAACTAATGAAATTTGTAGCAAGCTTCAAGTGTCGGAGCTGTCCATGCAGAAACCACACCTCCCTTCTGCCTCGACTGCGGTCCTGCTTTCTCAGAGTGCCAAGCTCTAACTGTGCCAAAAATGTGTCACTTTCAAATGTTCGAGTCCATTGAGTGATAGGAAAAATGTGAAACTGTGTTTGTTGAATGTATTTAATGAAAAAATGCCCTATTATAGAAAAGAGGAAGTTAGGGGAGTAATATATACGATAGAGATATGTAATAGGAAGAGAAAGATAGACAGAGAGAAAATAGAGAGATAGAGAGAATGAGAAAGTGAGTGAGAGGAGATGTGCAGATTGGCGGTCGAAGTGCAGTGTACCAGTGCCCGTGGAGAAGGGAGGTGTGTAAGCGTTCCATACAAATGCGTTTATCAATCTTTCGTTTGCTTATTAAGAAACCAATAAGTTATTTATGGATCAAGTTAGTATCGGATTTTACCTTAGTCAGTCGTAAAATGGTTAAAATTGAAATTGCAATGCACTCAACTAAATATTGAATCATTACCTTCAATTAAATATAATTATTGTACGAATAAAATACTACGTCAGTCATGTATTCATTTAAACTTAAATGTAGCGATAAATCAAACAGGCGATTATTTTCAGCAAAATTTATACATCCAATTTTTTTACAGATTCTACTGAAGCACTCGTCAATTAATTTGTTACACACAAATCTGATCCCTAGTGACTGACACTTCACCCCAGCAGAAATAAATTACATTTCAAATATATTGGAAATATTTTATTTTCTAAATTATTTTTGATGTACTTGCAATGCATAAACATTTTTTAAAAGCCCTAGGGAACGAAGAGTTAAGTTTGTAAAGAATTATTTTTTTTTAAGAGAAGAATTTTCTCTATGTGGCCAATCCATACCGTCGCTATTCACATTTCTAAATCTATCTGTATTTGTGGGTTCATTTAGTTCTATTGTTTTATTCATGATCAAAAAAATACCTTTGAAAAATACCTTGTTAGTGTACCTCTTTAATGAAGAGCTGTGAATCATGTCACATTTTTGATTTTTTTTTTTTTCAAGGAACATTACATTTCAAAAATAACCAATTAGCCGGCTGACTAAAAGTAAGACAAATGTCCTTCCTTCTGATTTTACGTAATGGGAGTTAGTCAAGAGAGGTGGGTGTAGGAAGAGTCAAAATTATTGTAAAAGTGATATGTAGGTATTTGAAAACTTGATTCATTTTCTTTTTGGGGGCTGTACCTTCGCATTTCATGCCCTGGTGGATGACACCGTAGAGTAAGGATCCACAATGGTCGCAAAACGTTGGGCTCGAGTAGGTGTGAACCTTGAACTTGTGCTTTGTACGGGAGGCCTACACACAACAGACACAGGGGCCAAGTGACCTCTTCTCCAACAAATGTGACAAACATTTTAATTTTTTTTTACATCAGTGCTTACGCCAGACATCTTTTTTATTAACAAAGACACATTCAAACCATTCTTCAAAAATTACTTTTGCCGAAGTAAACTGTTTGATTTTCACTCGACTCCTCCTTCTGTCGACTTTCAACGCCCATACTTATCTTACTATAACAACAGTAAGAATACTTATGAAAAATATTAACGCTGATTGATAATATTGTTGACTTACTGTCTTACTTTATCGTACTTACTTCATTAATATTTCTAAAAAATGATCTATAACTGTTAGCATCATATACATATCATGATTACTGATAAGTTTAAACATAAGACAAACTTCCTCTACAAAAAACGGGTATGTATTTATTTAAATTACTTTGTGGACGATTTAGCGAAAAGGCGATATTTCAGTGTATTCTTTACGCTTGTGTAGTGTTTATGACTTACTCCAAAATCAGAAAAGAAAAACCAACTGGTTTTATTCAAATCTTCAAAATATTGCTTACCGATATCATTGGTTCCCTGTTAATATTTTACTCCGACCCGTTTTTAATACAATTATTGGCATTATCTTTTAAAGGATAACATAAAAAAAAATATATATATATAGTCGCAGACGTTGAAGAACGATCTACCTTGCATTCCAAAGTTTTGGATTTAAGACATCAAAATAAAATAACTACATACAACGTAAAATGTCAATAACTATTTCAAATTTAAAAATATCTTTTTATGTAAGGTTTTGGTGGAAATGAAAAAGCTAGGGCCACGAGCGGGATTCGAACCCACGACCTTCGGCTAAATACGCCGCTGCTCTACCACTTGAGCTATCGTGACTTCGATTCACTGGGACACCAACTCCCCATCTCAACTTAAAACCTTTCGAATTTTCCCTCCTTTTTGCCATTTTTCAAATGTCGTGTAATCAGGATTCGATTCTAGGCGACATATGAAGTGGCCACGGGGAGCTGATAGTGAAGTTATACTTCGTTTCATTTCAACCAAAACCTTAAAGAAGATTAATTAATTGAAAGAAGTAATTTGGTTAATAGACCACGAAATATAATGGAGTTAAAAATATCCGTGATTATTGCTATGTTTTAGTGCTAAATGTTGATGTATCTTTATATTTTTATAGATTAATGCGAGTGGAGAGGGATGCCCCTACGTCCATCAAAGATAACTGCTAATCAACTAATTTGTACTCATTATAAGCATTTGTCTGCTATGTACGTTCAAGGACGTAACCTTCCTTTAAGTAAAATAGAAATCTCCAAGAACCAACAATCGATGATTGTTCAAGAAATCGTAGATTAAAAATGCGTGTGCGTATTTTAATCAAATGAAGACACAATTTCGTTCTCCGTTTTCCGAACGCTAGTCAATTCATCGGTTGTAATTGCCTAGATTTTTTACAAACCAATTAATTATTTGTTCAATAACTTAGCTACAGCATTTAGGTTGAGCGTTAATCAATTCTGACAATAGACGGTTATAGAAAATATAATTTTTTCCCACAAAATACAGATATTATCAATAATCACCGGCTGTCATCGTGTTGTATCACAATAATTGTATTGCGTATTAATTGCCTTTTATATGGACTAGTTTTCGTAATATTTTAGGAGGACGAACCGACACTGATTTATTCAGCTGGAAAACGGGGATCAATCAGCTATCGTTGATATGATGGCGATACCGTGGACGATATATCTCAAAGGATTAGTTGCGGCAATCCATTTAATCCTCGCTTCCACCTGACCCGTAAACTGGCCGTACCACCGCCAACAACCAATTTTCTGCTGAATTTCGATTCTGAATGAATTCATCACGAACTGATTATTATTTGATGGAATAACTACATCAGCTTATATATTCAAAAAGCTAACTACTGTTTCTTCCGTTTCTTTACCGACATTTAGAACATTATTTTATAAAATTGCTCTATCTTACATTGGGAAGATTTAGGATGGTGGCTAAGAACCGCAGAAGCATCCTTCACCCATTATAATCTCAGGTGAACAAGCATCGGGGTGAAGGGTGTAAAAAACTTCTG